AAAGCAAGAGTCCTTAAAAGGTTGTTTATAAATGGTGGTTAATATCTGGTTTGTTCTGTGCAAAAGAAAAAGTGTGTTCAACTGACTTTCACTCAGCGAATTCCCCTGGCCAACATGTCCTCTATATATACCATACATTCACCAAGCCACCACAACACAATGACTGATTCTGGCTAATATGCCCACACCCACAGTTTCTATCAGTGGAGTTAAGGGCTAAACTTATTTTTGCTTACAATCCTATTTACACTGATTATACTCGTAATATTATCATAACATTGATAACTAAAATAAACATTATATAAACACATTTTTCTATAAAAACTGGGGTAAATTCTTTGGAAAGTCTCAACAAAGGCAAGTCACCAAAAATAATGTCCAATTAGATGTGGTTGAAATAATTACAACAGGTTGAAAAAAATATGCCAAAAGTTTTAAAAGTTTCTGTACTTAGTATAATGTCCCTTTAAGAAAATACACAGAATATATAAATATTATATAGATATAGATATCATAGAAAATATACACACATACAATATGGTATGTATTATTGATGTTACTTGTGGAAGAATGACAATTTAGCTTCTAATCAATAGACCTATATTAACAGAAATGATCTGGGTTCCACATCAAAAGGTATCAGATTACTTTCCAAGTATGTAGTGCATTGCCATTTTTATGGTTCCCATTTTTTGTTTTTAATTTTAATAGGTACATAGTAGTTGTACATTTGAAATACATGTAATATTTTATATTCACAAAAATGGTATGGGTTCTGCCTCCTCAAAAGATACCAAATGACTTTCCAAGTATTTACTGCATTACCATTTTTATGATTCCCATTTTTTATTTTTATGGATACATAATAGTTGTACACATTTATGGGATACATGTAATATTTTGATACAAGTATACAATGTGTAATGATCAAATCAAGGTAATTGGAATATTCATCACCTCAAACATTTATCATTGCTTTGTATTGGAGACATTCCAGGTTTACTCCTCTGGTTACTTGGAAACATACAACAAATTTTTGTTAACTGTGGTCACCCTACTGTGCTACTGAACACTAGATATTATTCCTTCAATATAACGGTATTGTTGTACCTATTAAACAACGCCTCTTTATCATCCCCTCTCTGATTCCTATTTTAACTGACTTACGGCATCAGATAAGATTTAGGGTATAGAATTGTTTTTTTATTTTTTGAGTCAGGGTCTTACTCTGTTGCTCAGATAGGAGTGCAGTAGCATGATCACGACAATCATGGCTCACAGCAGCCTTGACCTCCTGGACTCAGGTGATCCTTCTACTTCAGAATCCTGAGTAGGTGGGACCTCAGGCATGCACCACCACACTTGGCTATTTTTAAAATTTTTTTGTAGAGGTAAGGTCTCACTATGTGGCCCAGGCTGGTCTTGAACTCCTGTGCTCAAGCAACCCGCTTGTCTTGGTATCCCAAAGTGCTGGGATTACAGGTGTGAGCCACGGAGCCCAGTATGAATATTTAGATATTTCTTAATTTTTTATTTAAATATTCTTCAATGTTTAAATTATCATATAAATATCATTTTTATTTTCATAATTTTTCAGTAATGTATGCTCTACGTATCAATGATTCATAAACAGCATAAAACATGGCCACTTTAAAATTATACAAATAATAAAAATAATTGATGATGACTGATCAATAAGTAGAAGGATGAGTCATATCTCAATTCTTCCAAGCAGCATTAGTAGATTGGCCTTGTTGGCTTCTGCTGCCAGAAATGTTCCTCTACCAGTCTGATGTCTATTCTGGCAAACCTATAGTGATTGTAATCCCAAGAGAATGCTTAACTGTCTCATATTCCCTACTGTGTCTTACAAAAAGTTAGAAAAGCAAAGGCTAAGGAAACAGACCACAGTTCCAGAATGTCTCAGAAATTTCTACAGCAGTGACTTTTCCTTTACAAACTGCTGCCTTACTTTGCTTGCTACATAATGACTTTATTTATATATTTTGGGGTAAATAACTCGAAAGGAGTAATAGCAAAGGAAAGGAAACTTTCTTTGATCAGAAAAGAACTCACATGGCTGCTCAAAGGGCACATCATACGAATCCAAGTAATGTGAAATTAGTATGTCAGTTGTGCAGCTGTAGTTCGAGTGTTACATTTAAATGGTAATTACATTAAATCTACTTTTATGAATTATATATCATTATTAAGTTGTCTCTTGTGCTATTTGCTACCATCAGCTAGCAGTTCCAAATTATTTTTGGTGAATTTGTAGACTTTAGAAAATTGCTACTGAATATGATGGTCTTACAAAAATCAATAATTTTCTTTGTTGAAAATTAGGTGAAAATAGTTCTTTAACAAAATTGCTGTTAAGCTACTTTCAGCAAAACCAAAGTCAGTTATGTCACAGTGGTTAGGAAATGGGCTTTGAAATCTGACAACCTAAATTCAAATTCTAGATCTGACCTCAATGTCTGGCATATTTTTAATCTTAAATATTAATTATTGCTTTAATATCATTAATAACATTACATGGAAAAGAATTCATAGAGAAAAAGAAATGACTGAAAATCTCCTTCCAAAGAGAAAAGGTAAGGGAAGAAGACTCCCATAAAAGACAAGAATAAATCCATATTTCTGATCCTTACTCCCAAATTTCATTTCACAAAACAATTAAACTCACAATTCTAGAAGACAAGACAGCAAGAAGCAGACCCTGGAGAGGGAGCAGCATCAAAACATGTAAGCACTAAAACTACCCATTTAGATAAAACAGGTACTTGTTTAATGTGGAAAAGATTTCTTATCATCCGAACTAAAAGCAGAAATGCTATTTTGTTTTGTTTTTTTACTGTTTTTTTTTAACCTAGAAACTTGAATTCTCAGTAAGTTATTTTTGTTGCAGCAATGCTCATCTAGAGAGAGCATAGAAAATAGGTATTAGAAAAGAAAAAAGCTCATAGGAGGTTCTTTCTAAAAATAATTTTTGTGTCCCCTCCCCACACCCCAAGAGCTAGTTGTAGTAAAGAGAAGACCTATGTCTGATTTCTGACAAGGTATCTGAGAGATTGTTTAGAGACAGAAATTGGAGTACTTAGAGACACACTGCAGAAAACTAATTGCTCCTGTTTTAAATTCTAGATCTTTATGTTTAAAGTCATTTGCTCTGAGTCATATTTATAAGCCTGAGATCTATTTGAAACTGGACATGTGCATTTCATAGTTTTGTTGGTGTAAAAGACGAATTTACTTTCTTACTAAGCTGGAGTCTCATTCTCCACCCCCACTATGCTGAAGTTGTAATATTTTAACCACTGATCACTCTTCAACACACAGCACAGAACTCAGCAATATTATACATCTAATAAATAATGAAGGAATGAATCAGTTAATGAAATAAATGGAAGAAAAGTTGGTCCAAGACAGCAAGAGATACAGGCTCGCCATCTAGTGATTACTTGATAAAATGCACATACACGATTCCCAGATTGGAAAAGGTAATAAAGTTGAAAGAAACACGACTTCCAAGAACAGGTGTGTTTTACAAATCTCGCCACTAAAGATTTTTTTTATCATGATGTACACATTGCTTTAAAGATACCAGATAAAGTGGCATATATGAGTAGGTCTTTAATATGATGACCTTCCTGGTGTAAGAAATCATACAGTAAGAAAAAAGTCATTAAGATTCAGCCATATATAGGGACCCACAAGTATGGTCCCAGGCAGTGACAAGACCTGTTCTTCTCCTATATAATTTATTAAAGCTGTACTTTAAATCTTTAAAAATATTGTGGTGTACTGGCCAAAGGTTTTAAGATTCTGCCTGAGGAAACAAGCAGTGCTATTCTCTCTCATCTGAATTCAGTTTGTGTCTTGGTGTTCATTAATAAATTATACTCCACTCTCTTTAAAACTACAGGTTAAAGCAATTGTATTTTAGCACACTGGTGTATGACAACAGGGACTTACTGCCACTCTAAAGAACAAAATTCCTGTCTTTGTCCTCACATCTACCAAAAGAACCAAAAGCTCCAAAGCTCTATATGTATCATTCCCAACTTGGGGCAGTTACCAGAACCTCCTTTAGAACTCTGTATTTGTTGATTTGTGGTCTATCTCACATTTTCCTGTTGTTCCATGTTTCTACTTTACAAAAATAAATTAAAGAGCATTGTTCGTACAGTTCACGCTTAAAAAATAGAACATTCATAAATAAATAAGTGCCAATATGGCAGCACTTCCACTTTCAGCAAGGAGCCCCCTCTCAAAAGCCTTCTTTACCTCTGCTCCCTCTTCATGGTACAGGAGCTCAAGGACTCACTGTTATTATAAACTTCACTCTTCTAGAGTTTCTCTGGAAAAGGCCAGAGATAATCACTATTCTCTCCTGAAGAATCAGCAGTTGTATTCAAACAAAAATTTGAAAATATACTCTCATGATAAAAGGCACAGTTTACCTATTATGCACATGCAATTTTCTTTTTGAATAAAAAGGTAGCAATCAGAAATAAGATGCAAAGTCGGGATGAACTGTCCTTTCTTGGAGTACATTTGACCCAGTCATGAGCACAGTGTGAGGAGGATCAGTGTCTTTCCAGGGGCTGGCCTGACCTCCTGGCTCAGACAAGAAGTTTGCTATCAAGTGTGTTACCGCTCTGCCAGCGATAGGTGTCACACACAACATAAGGAAAAGGGCAGGGGAGCCAGGAAAAAAAACAGAAACCAATCACAGAAAAAGGAACCAAACATTATAAAACTACATTCACACATTCTCTAGGGCTTTATGTTGAGTAAAAGAAGCTAAAACCCCTGCATTCCTCCTGTCTGTTCGTTTGCTCCTGCATACTTCTACAGATGTGCTACAATACAGTCAACAAAAGAAGTTCAAAACTAAAAGCGCCAAATGTTTTGTGAGTGAAAAAGTATTGCACATATATGTGGCTTGAAAAAAAGGACAACAGGGCGGCAGCTAACCGGTCACTTGTACTCACCGTGGTGGTGGTGGTGACTTCCTCAGTCACAACCTTCAGGGTGTCGACCACGGAGATGTAGCCCAGACGCTTAGCAATTGCCAGGGCAGTGTTGCCATTCTGAAGAGCGAGTGAAAGAAAGAGAGTGAGAAGTGAGAGGGAGGACTGTGATGTGAGCCAATGAGATCACCCGCAGCTCTGCATGAGCCAGCATTTCCTTCCAAAACAAGGCACAGCTTAGGAAAATCACTAGTTTTTACCATTACGTCTAAATCTGCCTTTGTAACTTCTTTAGACTATAGCCCGGGTCACCATGGTAACACAACAAGCTTGCATCTGCCTGCTCTTTTTAATAAGAAGCACTTGATGCTTTAACCCTAAGGTTGTCAAATATCCTCTACAAAAACTGTGTTGTGCTTGGGAGAGGATCCCTTGATGCCTCCAGAAACTATTAGCAAGCACCAGGTACTCTTATTCCTCAACAGAGGTCAGGCCATCTGCTTCAGGTAAGTTATTTCTATAGGGAACATGGTAACATATTTAGCTACAACTGTGCAGAAGCTCACTTTGCAGCAAAATAATACAAGCAAGCAATTCAGGCTGCATCCAGCCCAGGCCACTCGGGACCCTGGTTTGTTTAATTGCACTGCTTAGTTTACATTTCAATGGCTCCACAACCCAATGAGCTTTGTCTAAGCCAGCAGCTCCCTCACTGTGCTCCCTCAAGGGGGGGGGGGGTCAATTTGTGCTCACATCTGAGAGCCAGCTGTAAGCGGAGCACGTTCCAGAAGCTGTGGGCCCCCCTCTCCAGAGACAGCCAACTGAGTCAGGCTGACTGCTTGCACTCCCAGGACAAGCATTCCCCGGGAAGTCACAGTGATTTCTGGAAAGGCTTCCCAAAAATCTGGGGCTTTCCAGACTCTGGGACTTATTGAAGGAGGATGTATCTGAGCTCAGCTCAGACACGAGGCCACCAAGGCAAGAGTGGAAGGAGAAGAAAGTGCATCTGCCTTACCGCAGTGGTGGCATTGGGCTTGGCCCCGTGCTGGAGCAGGACGTTGATGATGTGCGTGTGGCCCTGCTGTGCAGCCTGGTGCAAAGGCGTGTAACCATTCTGTGGACGACAGGAGCGGTGGGCCCAGCCCCGAGGTGCAGAGGGAGAGGACAATTAGGTTAGCCTTCATTTTGAGTTTCTTAGTCTTATTTACAACAATACCATCACAGACGCTTTGTTTATTTGGAGCTGAAGATTACCAGCAACCCATTTCTCGGCAGCAAACACTCCCTCACACCTTATGGTCTGCTAAACAGAGAGATGAGACCAGCTTATGAAACAACAAGAACAGACTCCAAACGATAACTATTATTGTATTTTAACCAATTAGTATTAAAAATGCTGAGAGGAGATTTAAATGAGAAAGGGCATTATCACCACGACTTCTTCCCTAGGAAGCAAGCAAGGGTAAAATCGTTTTTTAACTAAAGGCTGCAAAGGGCCACACAAACCCCTGCATGTTCATCGTGACTCTCCTAACAATTAATCTTTGGCTTAGTTTTAGGGATTCAAAATCAATGAAAGTAAATCTAAATCATATATTCCTTTCACAGAACAGCTTTGGACATAGAAAAGCTTACACTTTAGAGGATAGATGACTTCATTGCAAGCCGAGTGGCCCACCCTCAATTTTTAAAAATGTCTTTAAAAATCATGTTTTTAACATTCTGGTCTCAACTTTCACACAGATGAAAGCTCTATAATCTGTGGTTTGTGAGGAACTGCTGTTGAGCTTGGTGTGAGGCTAGTCTTGCTCAGAACTGTAGAGGGTGGTAGGTTATGGTACACGTTGGTCACATATTCACATTAATTTTAATTGCACTGGAATCTTTGGAAGTATAACAAAAGAGGAATAGCAATCATTTATTAAGCATTCATTTAGTGCCAAATACTATACTTTATAGTTATTGGCTTGGTCTTTATCATTCTAAAATTAAGGGTGCTTGGTACATAGTAGGTGCTTCATAAATAATTGACTAAATGAGTGATGAACAAATAATTAAATAAATGAATATTTTTCTCCCCATTTCTGACATAATGAAACTGAAAATAACACAGTTAAATAATTTTTCCACAATTGGTCTAGGTTCAGATCCTGTGTAGAAGATCATGATAGCCAATAGCTATCAGAACTACTTTTTTTATCTGGGCTCGGTGGCTCAGCCTGTAATCCCGCGCTTTGGGAGGCTGAGGTGAGTGGACTGCCTGAGCCCGCAGGTTTGAGACCTGCCTGGGAAACTTGGCGAGACGTCATCTCTACAATAAATCAACAAAAATTAAACGGGCATGGTAGCATCCACCAGTAGTTCCGGCTACTTAGAAGGCTGAGGCAGAAGGATTGCCAGAGCCCAGCAGGTCAAGGCTGCACTCCAGTCTGGGTGACAGAGTGAGACTCTAACTCAAAAAAAAAAAAACCAAGAACTACTTTTTGTTAAAAAATCTACTTGCCTCACCCCTATTAAAATTCTAAGTCCTGATTGGCCTATTCATACATACTTTAAGTTTGTAAGAGGATATATTCCTTTTATCCAATGTCACTGTTGCCTCATGACCAACATATATACTTGCTTAATTAACCTGTTTATATGACTTCTCTATCTAGATACATGGGTGCCACATGTCCTCTATACATTCACTGCAGTCTTTCCCTTCATAGGAATGCACCCATATATGTCAGGGTTTCTCTGTCTGAGTGTCTTTAAGTCTGGTACAATCTTCAGCTCTGCCATGTTAGGAGTTCTGTGCTGTATACTCCTTCAATTACCCCAGGAAACCAGGAAATATAAATCAATTACAGGGACTCTGCAAAACCTATAGGTATTGCAGGGACTCTGCTCTCAAATCAGGTAATCTTTAGACATTTGAGGAGCACACAGTAAGTGGTATTTCCCTTCATTTCCATTGTGTTTACAATGTCCTACCAACCAAATTTAGTTCATCCTTCAGTATCAGTCAAGTTAATTCATTCAACAAATATTTATTTATTCATCACATGAAATGTGCCAGATAAATTAGCATATACATGAATAAAACAATAGAACTAATATATTAAACATATTAGTATAATGTAAATAAATATCAATTATCTGTAAATATATAAATTAATAATACTGAATATAAATTAATAATGCCAAAGAAACACTCTTACTCTCAATAGATCACAGTACATATACAGAGTCCTCAGTGGACATTATTGCCAGAAAAATGTCCCTTAGGCCTGGTTGAAACTAACCTTTACTTGAAATCTCCAGTGAGTTAGAATATTTGCCAGGTAAGGCTGAAACAATTCAACAGTTTTTACATGAACATTTGTTTGAAGTTTAATCTACTGTCAAGAGCCCATCTGGCTACCAACTATTCGCAAATCCTTATAGCTCTCTAAACCCCAATTTTTTTATTTGTAAAATGGAAATGACCAAACTTTCAAGTTTGGTGAGGGATCATATAAGTTGCCATGAATTAAATGTTTTCGTTTTCTTGGCTTTGAAAGTTTTAACAAACATGCTGTTTGTTTTCTCTTTATTGAAAGAGCTCTATAATCTTTGCAGTATCTTTTATAAAGGAAATTTCTTTTATATGCTATAGTTCTAAACCTTCTCCATAAGCTAAACCTATAATAAACCAAGTCTGGTTTGCCCCAAACTGTTGTGACAGGGTTTCACTCTAATTTGAAGCAACCATAGTTCCATAAAACAAATTCACTTTTCCAAATCTTTTATACCAAGGAGTTAAATTAACATATATTTTGCATTTTCAATGCAATAAAACACTTTTTAGTAACTATTTGGTTACACATGAGATGTGAGGAAGAAAACAAAATCATCTCTCCAGAGATGTCATTTTCATGTGAACAAATTCTGAAGAGTTTATTAAAAACTGTTCTTCAGGGTATGTATCTGTCTACTCCCCTAAAGATATATGGTTCCAAATGTAACATTGAAAGCAACATGATTTATTTTTTAAAAAACCTGTAATGTCAAAATAAGATTTTTCTCCCAATCAAATGTTCATTTGATGCAGATTGAACTCCTGGGAGGCCACTGATATCCTCTAGACAATGTAGTGCTTGGCTTCTAAATATTATAACTATTCAACAGTCACACACTTAAAAATATGATAAGCATTTTCAAGCCCTGCTGACATTTCATTGAATTGTTGCATTTCTGCATTTCAAGAGAATACCTGGATCCCAGCAAGAATGTCTTTCCTGGAATGTTGATATGTGAGCTGACCTCAGCAAAAAATGGGGTTAAGAACCAATGCTTGAGAATTCATATTAGAGCTTTTAAATAGTCTCAAAGGACAATTTCATGAGAACTTAAGAACTGGTCAGAAACCAGGCAGCAACTATTCTTACTAGAGTAAGATGATAAGTTTGAATCTCAAATGTTAACAGGATTATTTATAATTTTAAAAATGAGTTTATTTTAAATTAGCTTATAAATATGCTTATGTATAGAAATGACTTTGTTTTTGCTTCTAAGAGAATATAAAAAGACTGACTTACAAAACTTCTGTATATTTTTAATTAGTAGCATCTTGAATGATGGCTTTGAAAATTCCTGAATGTGTTCACACTAATTTACTTGAGCCCACTCACATAGCTGCAATTAGAAATTTCTAACATATGAACTTAAAAAAAAATGCAAATAAATATTTCTTTGCACCAAAGAACCTGGATCAGCAAGTTATATTATGCATAATAGCCATAGTTATATTAGGCACTTCTTTTCACTTTGAACCAATTTGAGTGCACTGAAATACAGTGTTATGTTCCAACCTTGATTTGCTGAATGGGACCCTGCAGATGCCCCTGGAAAAACCTGCTGGGATCAAGTCAGCTCTGCATTATTCTTGAGAACTTCCAACCCAGTCCTTACACATTATTTCCTCATTGACCATGACCATGTGATGCTCCCAATGTGACAGAGTTCATTAAAAATGAAAGGCGTGCAGCCTAGGCTGCCTGTCTGTATTTCCTCATGGGGAATAAGGGGTCATGGGGAGAGGGGCAAGACTCTGAAATAATGTTAAGGAAATCTGCCAGAATATCAAGATGTTCTAGCAGGCATCCATTGTATCCTGCAGTAAATAATTAAATCGACGTCAGCTATTTTGACTTTATTATAATAGAAACAGTTCTGAAGCTAACCTACATGGCTGTCAAAGGTTATTAGAATAAAAAGTCTCAAACAATTACAAAACTATACTACCTCTTCAAAATCACTTTAAAAGAACTAGAAAGAAAAAAAAAAATACACTAGTAACTTTTGTAAGCTAGTGAAGTGCCCAGATGGCTGCATCTTTCTGCTTATAGAAAATGAAAATGACTGCTAGCATTTTACCTTGGTTTTTGCATTAACGTTTGCTCCCTGCTTCAGAAGAAAGTTGACCATTTTCACATTTCCATAGTGACAGGCCACAATTAAAGGAGTGTAACCAAGCTGGAAATAAAAAGGTATAAATAAACAAACAAACGAAGTAGAAACTTCACTACTCCATTGGTTAATACTCTAGGGGAGAAGGATTAGGTAGAGTTTCAGTTATTGCAGGATGGGTAGAAATTCAATTAGACTGTACAAATATTATTTAGCAGATTATATATGCATCTTTGACCACAAGGAGATTAACATCAGCAAGAGAGGTCAGACCCATGTGTGACTGAATCGATTAAAGAAGTAAGAGAGAGGCACATATAACATGACTTGTAAGCAACAAAGAGACTCACTCTGATATGAGGATCAGAAGGAGAAGCAGGAACAATGCAGCTATGGTAGGCTTAAAGAATGGGTAAGAAGTGAATGGCATAGAAAGGGAAAACCTATTGCCAGACCAAGGGCACAGAGGCAAGCAAGTATAGGATGAACAGAGCAGGTCATCTGAACTTACAGCTAAAGCAATAAGGGGGAAAGTAGAATTAAGTCTGCAAAATTAGAGTCTTTTTGTGAAGGATTCTGATCCATTTAGACTTGATTTCAGCAAAAAAAAAAAAGAAGAAGAAGAAGAAGAAGGAGGAGGAGGAGCTGTTGTAGATTTGTGAGCAGGAGAGGGTTATGATTAGTTCATATTTCAGAATGAACTTTTGAGGAGGGAATAGCTGGACATGGAGTGACCCAAATAGGAATTACTGGGAGTCAAGTTAGAACCTATCACAATCTGACAGTGATTTGCCTTACCTTCGTATGAGCATCCTGGTCAGCCCCATGCTTGGTGAGAATATCAGCCACATTCACTTTATCTTCCTGGGCTGCGAGGTGTAAGGATGTGAGTCCACTCTATAGAAAGAATGAAACCAAAAGGGTACATTTGAAGAAGAAAATGCATTGCATCATCTGCAATATCATGTCCTGAAAAAATCCTGGAAAACTCACAGCCTCCCCCCAGAAGCTGCATATTTTGATAGCTAAGACATACTCTCTATGCCAATAATTTTTCATCCAAGACATATTCTCTAAGTTAATAAAAACTTTCATCAAACTGTATTTTCTATACTGGGTACTTATGATGTTAGACTTTAAAATAACTCAGCTAATAAACTTCCAAACAACATTCATTTCAACCCCATCTGGGCCTCCTGCTGGATCTATTTATTTACTTAAATAGCAGATCAACTATTACTTCTACTTTATAATCATAACAAAATCTATATTTTGTCAATAAAATACCACATCTGTGTAAAAAAATGTACAGAGTTACAGGATATGAGTTCAGAATAACTTTTTCTTGCACTCAAAGGGTCATCTAAACACCAAGTTAAAAATAAGTAACCCCATCATTTACATAGCTGTAACATGTTTGGCACATATACATCAAATAATAATTTTGTTTACTTGAATGTGTAATTAAAGCACAGTTATAAATACATAACAAATGAAGGCATTGATAAAGGAGGGAGGAAAGTGGTTTACTCAGTCAATGCCGTACTCTAGTATCCTTACTATATCATTGTATGTTTTTCAAGTGTTTTTTGAATGGCTTTCACATGCCATGAAGCATTCTCAGCACTTGACTATAGCAGTGGACAAAGGTTTTTGTTCTTAGAGAGTTTATATTCTAGCTTACAGTATATTTATACCATGTTATTCTCCCCCTACTGTTGCTCAAATTTCTAGTATATTTACACTCTTCCTGTAAACCATGCAGTTGTATACTGAGATGGCTACCTGTATTCTGAGTTGGCATCCCCTTCCCCAATTCACATCCAGCAATCATCCACCAGCCTTGTGGACCCTGCTTTGCAGAACTGCTCTTCTGTATGAGCTCTTGGGCTGGAAAAGCTACACCATGTACCTCAAAATCCATGATCTCCAGCCATGGTGCTACTTCTAGGAATCACAAAGTGCACTGAATTTTGCAAAACATAAGTGATACCTACAGAGAGAAGAACATTCTACAACTTGAGAGCAGGCATTTTGAGGGTCTGGAACTTTTTAATCCTTAGAGTTTTGGGTGAACTCAGCGTTGAGTTTCATAAAACATCAGAGTGAGACAGAAGACATTCTTTGGGATTAAGTAATATTTGTTTAGAAGTGATGAAATTTTAATGCAAATGTACAAAGTCTGAATATTAAAGCTAAAGATTCTTCCTCATGTTTATTTTTTCCATATTGGATAAGCAAGCATAAAAATATTTCTCTTTACAGAGATACTCTGTTTAAAATGTTATTGAGGTGACCGTTAAAGAAAGTGATCATCAATCAAATCTTGAAGACACTTTTGATGGTATTTCAAATATATGTGCCTTTTTCTACTCTATTTTCGGAATGAATTTTCTACAATGTAAGATTGCAAAGTAAAACCAGTATAAGAATCTCTATAGTTTATTATGGTAAACTTGCATATCCAAATTAAATTATGTAAGCCTTTCTAATAAATCAAGAAAATAAAAGATGTTGAAGGAATTCTTTTCAAAAAAGTAATTTCTTTTCTAAGATACACTGGTCGACTGAACAACAGGTATTATATATGGTGACTGGATCATGAATATAATATTATTTCTATATTATAGTTTGGTTTTTGTTTTAGTTGGCATCTTATTCTGTCACCCAGACTGGAGTGCAGTAGCATACTCATGGCCACCGCAGTCTCAACCTGAGGCTTCTGCCTCAGCCTTCCAAGTAGCCAGAACTACAGACAACGCCACCACACCCAGCTATTTTTTTTATTTTTTGTAGAGACGAGGTTTTGCCATGTTGCCCAGTCTGGTCTCGAACCCGTGGGCTCAGGCAATCCTCTCACCTAGGCCTCTCAAAGCGCTGGGATTATAGGCGTGAGTCATAGCGCCCAGCCTATATTATAGTCTTTAATGAGAAATAATCACTTGGAGAGTATGAAATTATTGATTTCATTTGGTCTTAAATAGAAAAGAATATATGTCCTTTTCAAAAGCAATAAGAAAATTTATTGTAGTTTTGTTTCTTACCTGAAATATTTCTACAGTTGCATTATCTTATTGTAATATTATCCAAAAGGCAAAAGGTTATATTGTTATATATAGATTATATATATTGTATTATTATTCAGATGTATCTGGTCACATTTACTAACATTTTACTTTGGTGACAAATACATCATGCTTTTTTCTTTAGGACAACACTCAAATATAATACTGAAGTTATTGTAAAGATAGCATAATTACTTCGTGATTCAAAACAGAATATTTTTCTTCACTACTGAGCATATAACTAAAAAATACTCATTAAGTATTTGCTGATTGACTACTAAAACTCTCAAAGTAATGTATTTACGAGAATACAATAAAGGACATAGTGAACTGATTCCAGATATCTATTTAACGTTTATATAAATTAAAAAAAAAAACATAAGAAGCATTGTAAGATCAGTTTCAATGAACCGTCTAGACCTACTTTTCAACCCTACTTAAAATTTTGCTAAATTTGTTTATGGATATCTTTTGCTTACTTCAAGATGTAGTTGCTTTTAATATAGTAAATGCATATCCCCTTCATATACTAATATTAAATATTCTATGTTTCAAGATGTAGTTGCTTCTAATATAGCAAACACATATCCCCTTCATATACTAATATTAAATATTCTATGTTTCAAGATGTAGTTGCTTTTAATATAGTAAACACATATCCCCTTCATATATTAATATTAAATATTCTATGTTTCATGGTCAGCCCAGTAGTGTCAATGACCAGCTGAATGACATGATTTCAATAGCCACAGGGAAGTCCATGCCCCAGATATTAATGACTGTCTGGCTGATACACTGAATTTCACCAAAAGGCTTTATCATGTCACTCTTGTTAAAATGTAAATATCTTTTGGAAGACTAACTCTATAATTAGCTCTCAATATATTTTTAAAAAGATCTGTGAGGTCTTTTGATAGAGGCCAGAGATGTGCATAAGGACAAGGGATGTCCCGGAACACTACTGAGTGACAAAGATAATCTTGGACTCCAGAGGCATTCGAGACAATCGCCTGTTTCATAGCTCTTTCTAAGGGACACACATATGTAAATAGGACAGACCTATTTACAAACGTTACTAAAACTAATGTTTAATCAATACTTCAATTGCACCAATTAACTCAACAGTGAGATATAAAAAACATCGTATTCATGTATTTGTGAAAAATCCTAAGAAACTTAATTTTTACTAAACCCACACAGCATGTTACAAAAAGCATCAAGAGGTCCACATAACAAACTAACTTGTAAATACAGGTTCCAATTCTGAGTTTCTCAGCAGCTGATTATAGTGGAGTATATATAAGATAGAAAGATAGAGCTATATGTTTATATGTAGATAGATAGATACACATATAGATAGATGCATAGACAGATATATACTTGTAAAAATCCAAATAAGATACATAGACAGATATATACTTGTAAAAATCCAAATATTTTTGTTTCATTAGTAGCTTTTTCCCTTGACTGTTATTCTATTATAATTAATATAGAGGTCCACAAAGGCCATTCATTGGAGAAAGGCAGAAATGACTGAGATGTTTTATTAAAAAGCCTTATTTTTCTGACCACCACCACAACCACCCAAGCTAGGTTGAAGTTAGCTCAAAAAAAAAAAAAAAAAAATCTATATTTTACTGAGTTTCCTGCCCCTACCCAGGGGTGCCTCTGATGCTCAGCTGGTTTGGAGAATGACTTGGGTGGTGGACACAGACCTGCCAGCTTACAGGTAGTTGTTTGAACTAAAACCCAGATGAACTTTTCTCTCTCTGTCTCCCCTCCCCCATGCTCTCCAGCCATCTTTGAAATTTGGAATTAGACTAGCAGACATGAGGGCAATCTGAATGTTTGAATTACAGTGGTGTTAACTCCTAGGAGCTACGCATTAGCCTCTTCAGTCATACACAGAGAAACAGAGACAGCAGATTTATAGAGAGAGAGATAAACAGAACTGACTGCCAGAGAAAAGTCAAGACATAAAAACGTAGTCATACAGGCCAAGAATCTGTGAGAGTGGCTCCCTTGCTTCCTTCTTGTTTTTTGGTCCCTCATTAATACCTTGCCATCCTTGGGTCTATAAGATATTCCTGTTTCCTTTTAATACATCCCCTCTTATTTGTTCCAAGTTATCACTGATTGGTTTCTGTTTACATTCATCCAAAAAACTCTTGATTGAAGCAAGAGGCAAGGTCAGAATACCTTGGTTGACATGTGGATATTGGCCCCCTTTTCCAGAAGCAGGGTGACCATATCTGTGTGCCCCTCCTGTGAGGCCAAATGGAGTGGGGTTACTCCTTGCTTTGTCACAATGTTCGTCTCTGCTCCATAGTTCAGGAGTGTGGAAGCTATCTGCATCTGATTCTTCTTGGCAGCAATATGTAAAGGAGTATAGCCATTCTAAAAAAGTAAACACACACACAAATATGTAGTAAGCTTAGCAATTTCCCTAACATGTATCTCTGAAGAAAATAAGAGTCCCTAATCAACAGAAAAGCTAAAAGTGAGTTTACAGTTAACACTTACCACAAGTTTTCATCCAACAATACCCAAATCTTTGCAACAAAAGTCACAAGGCACCCCATTCTAATGTAAGCAAATATAGATACCAAAGCCCCAAAGCTGAAAATCCCCTTCTTATAATATTGGTTCTCTCCTGAAGAGCAGCATAGAATGAGCCAGTTTCCTCTCTCCACATGACCGTCCTTTAAACACCCTGGGACAGTTTTCATATCTACTTTTTGCCTTCTGTTTTCCAGGTGAAACTTTTTCATTCCTTCAACTATTCCTGATAGTAGCACCATTTAGAGACCTCTCCCCATAAGGATGACTTGTTCAGGACTAATTCTAGTTTAGCAACATTGCTCTTGAATTGTGTGTGCTGCCTGGAATGAAACATTATACTTCAGATATAGTTTTTATAGTACAGAATAAAATAGAATTATTTCTACGGTCATGTTATAATATTCCTACTAATATGCTTCTGATTGAATTTCACTTTTAACTAGGTCAACGAAAACACTACTGAGTACCTAGCAGAGGCAAGCAGTGTGCTAGGTATAGAAATGCAAAGGTGAACATGACATGATCCCTATTTTTTAAGGGGTGTATTCTATCTTGTAAAAGATATTAAACAACAAAACTAGCTTATATTAACCTGTGGCCAATTGAAATCTTGGATCCCCTTTTTCTCTACAAACTGCAGCCTCAAAAATAGAAACATGAGGCGATTAATTTTACGTGGGAGTTTGTGTAGACCAGGATAACTCATACTAAGCCCTGTGCTTAGTTGAAAAAAAAATAAACTGTAGAAAAAGTGTAAGTCTGGACCACATATTATTTCCTTCCCTTTTCTTTATCAAACCTGGCAGAATTTTCCATAAAAGGTGTGTGATAGAAATTAAAAATAATGGCTTTGCCATTAACTGTGACATGCTAAAGGGACAGTATAATGATCAAACACTTTCTGTGAGACTACCATCAGAGGTATTTTTAGGTCATGCTATTTCTCTAAATCTAACTGGAAAGTGTACCAAAAAATAAAGAGAATTTAAATGTTTTAAGAATTTAAATGTCTTCATGTGCCATCATCAAATCTTGGTTCTCTGTTCCCATAAAATAAGTATCTTTATTCTGATCCATAAAATAAGTATCTTTCTTTTTTGACAAGTAATATTTCTCCTTAAGCAGTTGAAGGAAAATCAGCAGCTCTCCTTGGAAGCCGTTTCAAGGTCTGATCACAGGTCTCCAACGCTCCATTTGCCTTAGAATATTGCACTTGGGTCTACAGGCTCACTGAATAGAAAGGCACATCGGTTTTTGTGGACCATGTAAGTTTAGGTAACTCCTTTTTACTACAATGTGTTTCTTTCATCTCAATTCCCCCTATTCCTGCACCAAAGGCTCTACCAATGTTGGGTTAAGTAACAAAGTATTTGCCTATGAGACTTATATGGAGAAAGACAGGAATGTTTTTAGCAAAACAATATAAGAGATCATCCAAGGAGCATCAGTTTTGGCAATGTAAGAGGTCTGTCTGGTAGATACCCAACCTGCATGATCTGAAGAGTCCTCTCACCCCATTTAAAGAACTCTTAATGAATACTAAGAGAAAGTTCTGGATTCTGGTAGAGAATAGCAAAGAAGTTTCAGGGACCAAAGGACTGTATGTGCTGAGGGGTTGGGGAATTGGAATGAACAGAAGGAGAGTCAAAAGAGGAGATGAGGTGGGGTTGTACCAACTAGAAGCCTCTTGGAGTGGCCCCAGAGTTGCAGGACTCACACTGCAGGTTGGGCAGATATGAGTGAAAGATACCAGAGGAGCCTTTCCAGAACACCTGCCCTACAGTGGACTCTGAAATAGAGAGATACTTACCTCATCTTCTTCTGAACTTGGTATGTGCATGCCTGAGTAAGGGCTACACATGCTAGAGGCTAGAGATCAAGCCTATACTTGTCTCTTTTGGAAAACCATACACACTATTTTATAATCTAGGTCTTCTCTCGCAAATAGACGGAGAGTCCCTTCTGGGTAGAGAACACATTTTTTTACGATTGTACCTACCACCAAGTAGCTGTTCTTTCTTTGCAGATAGTAAGAGTTCAATAAAAGTACTGATGAGTATTAATGAAGTCTTTTATATCTATGCTGAGAATGGTCAACCTGGAAATCTAATGGAAAAACTATGCTGGCATGTTAAATGAGCAGATATCTTTCATTCCATTGAAACAGTTGTTCAGTCTTCATCCCTTCATCCAAATTTATTGAGAACCCACATAATACAGTATTAGACACCTCAGGGATTATAAGCTACTGTCTTCAAGTTGTTTATGATCCAGTGTGAAGAAAGACATAAAATTAATATAGAATTGGTGAGGTTACAGAAAAAAGAGGATGAAGGATTAAGAGCAGTGTATATAATCATAAAAATGTGGTCCTCTCTTTTGACAGTTTGAATACTTTATTGTATTTATGGATATGAAAAATATAAATAAATGTAAACGTATATGCACATATGTGTACAAAGTTGTATATATTATAATATATAACATGTTGAACATAGTATAGCATGGTATGTAGACATACTTTTATATACAGTACTTCATTTTATTATATATGTATATTATGCATAAATTAAATATGACATGTGAGTATATATATATATATGTATATAATTACATAACAGGAGAAGAATAAATCTCTCTCTACTGCTTTGGGACACAACGGACCTGGTGGTTAAGAGCTCCAACTCTAAAGTCAGTCTCTCTGAGGTCAAATATAGGTACTAGCTCTAAGACTTACTCGTCATGTGACTTTGGGCAAATTAACCTATTTAAATCACCATGAACACCAATGTCATGGGATTATTATGAGATTAAATGAACTACCGCCTTTAAAGTGCTAGGCACAGTGTTTGGCACTTCAGTGGTAGTAGTTGCTTTATTATGTATTCTAATATAGCATAAATATTTTTCCATCACAATATAAATATTTATAAAATAAACCCTGATATGTTCTCAAAATATGTGTGCTGGATTAATAAATGCAAGAGGTAATGAGGACCTTAGGTATTATAAGACATTCTTGTACATTTTCAATGTAATAAAAGAGCAACTCCAAAGGTGAGAAAATCCCCATGCATGAGTACAAGTCTTAGTTGGAGCTGTTTTGGTTTTAGTTGTACACCAAAAAGGCATCCCTCCTAGTTTAGGAACTTAAATGGATCCACACTACAGTTACAACAGGTGACACTTTTAAGAGACAAAGTAACGAACAGGAGTCTGAAAACAGTCTCTGAAAGAATGAATATAAAAGGCTATGCTATATTAAAGGATGCCTTCTACTTATAGGACAGAAGGAAAAGCCTGTTACTGTCTTTATTATGTTTCTCTTCTCAAAATTCAGACTTCAATCTCTAAAAGACTACATGTTGGCAGTTAAGATTCATCTCTACAGGCTCATCCCCTTAATAATATCTGCTGACCTTAAAAATCTTTAAAAAGTTTTATAGAAGCAACTGGCAGGAAGAGGAGAAAAAAAGGTATCAAACCAAAAGCTACTATTACTAGGACTAGTTACAATTACACTGCAGCGTGTGTACAATCCCCACATGCTTTCAGAATCTAGTTAACACCCTATGTTGGTGAAGCCTTCTCTGGGGTCCTCACCTTGGCAGTGGCATGAGGGGAAGCACCCTTCTCCAGTAACAGCAGCGCCACCTTCTGGTTGTCATAATGAGCAGCAACATGGAGCGGGGTAAGGCCATTCTGTAAAGGGTGTGTTTAAGTTTCAGCATTAATAAGTTAGCATGAGATGCCCTGAAGCTACTAGGATGCATGGAAACTGACATCGATGAAGTCCATGTTAATTAATTAATATAGTCAATAGGAAAAAATCAAAATAAATAATAATTTTCATATTAAAAAGGAACTAAATTTGAAAATGGTTGCGTGTACAATTAGCAAAAGTCATCTCAATGGCCACCATCTGTAAAGGTCTAAAATGTTACATAAGAATACTGCATTAACAGTGCAGGGATTATTCTTAGTATAGAGAGGTTTGGGGCCCTGTTGTGACAAGAACACACATTTAAGACTCGTCTCAAAATGCTTTCTGAAGCTGGGTACAGTGGCTCAAACCTCAGCCCTTTGGGAGGCTGAGGTGGGAGGATCGCTTGAGGCCAAGAGTTTGAGATCAGCCCAGGCAACACAGCAAGGCCCTGTCTCTACAAAAATTAAAAAAACAAAGAAAATACTAAAATGCTTTCTGAATCAGTGTGTACATGGAGGGTCATGAACCGACATCTCCACATGTCTGTTTAGCCTCGTTTCATAAGTTGCACTCATTTTTCTTTCAGAGAGATATGAGAATATCTTTACAGATTTCCAAGTATATCAACTCAACTGAGTTGTATCATTAAAGCATATTATTGACAATCCTCACCTTCCCTGCTGAATCTGCGGCAGCGCGGCGTTGCAAGAGAAGTTTTGCCACATCCAGGCTTCCATACTTTGCTGCTACATGCAGGGGAGTAAAACCCTTCTGAAATGTGAAGAACAAAAGGAAAATGTAGTATTTTTTATGACTCCTAACAAGATCGTTTTAATTTGTCAACATATAAAGCAAACTGTGCTGATTCTTCATTTGGAAAACATAAATGAGGAATAGAATAAAGAACGAAACTTACATGCAAAAGTTTAGTTTGATAGATGGAACAATATAAATTTTAAGAGCTTGGAGACTAAAATCTGACTTTATAGGCTTGGGATTTTTTAAAAATCCACTAGTGTCAGTAAACTGACTCTGGTTTGTGAGTGAGGGGGGAAAAAAACCCCTGTCTTTCTTGCCCTTAAAACTAATAGCTGCCTTCTCTCCAACCCTGTTTCTCTTTCTTTCAACCCTTATTTGTAACACCTGAATTCCAAATTTCTGCATTTAAATTTTAAGATATTTTGGTAGCTATAGTTTTAAAAAAAGTATTTGTGACTTAGTTGACATATTTTCTGCAGAAATGGCAAGATAAATGGTCTCTAGAACAGCAACAACAAAATGCTCGCTATTAAAAAGCAACTCCCATCCTGACTGTAGTTCCCTTTCCCAGAAGACTCATGCTGTCTAAAACACCAATTCCTTTTGTAAATACATTCTACTTCTGGCATGATGTGAGACTGATTAATACCAGACCTTTAAACATAGTGAAGCTTTAAAGCCCTGAGACTGCTCTCCTACACGTTTATATGTTTGCATTCAGTGTCCTGTGTGTCTAACCAATAGCTGCGCTCTGTAATAGCAGTGTGTGATAAATAAAGATAAGTCTCTGGACTGAGATCTTGAGGACGGCACAGTTCCCACACCATGATCTTAAATCTATCCTTTTGGCCAGACAGTTTAACCACATGCTCTTCTGGCACTACTGTGGGAGTGGGGGAATTCTAACACTGACTACAGCCTGTAAAACACACTAGCAAGTATGCCTGCATTAGGTGCTCTAAGATATGGTTTATCCTTGGACTGTTAAAGGTCTCATCACGAACACAGAATATTCCCCAAGAAGCAATATTACCCTTCCCGTGTCACCAAATTATTAACCAAGATGACGTCTTTCTTTTCGCTTCCTTGTAGAACATTTGGTAATAATAAGTTCTTGGAAGAGAGGGAATCTTCTGGCTTTTTCCAAGTGTGGGACAAATATAGGAAGTATTTCTTCCTGCTTGCATTAGTTCAAATAAACCAACATTAGTTGCTAAAGTTCTTCGCCGCCTCTCCCCCTCAATGCATACAGTGATTGAGGGTGACACTCCAATAAAACAAATTGGAGCCCTCAGAGACAAACTACATGGTGAAGAAGAACAATTAAACTTCTTATCCTTAAAGTCACACTGGAACAGTAACCCAACTCCTTTATATATTTGGAGACATTCAGTAGCAAAACTACATAGAATTCTTACTGCAGGGTCACAAAATAAAGGTTAGAAAGCATCTTGAATCACACATCTGCCTTCTTCCTCTATATTAATCTCACCAGTATTAATCTCACCAGGATTTATTTTCTTCCTTGATATTTATAAACACTTAAATTGCTTTAACGATGATGAGTCATTCACTGTTCAGTCCTAGTCAGGTGCACTGTGAAAATGCTATGTAGTAATTTCTTTCATTTTATTGCTCTAATTTACTATAGATTTAGATCTTTTTATATCTTATAAGCCTTTGAAAGACAAGGAACTGTGTCTTATTTTCTCTTTCTGTATTTTACATATCTTAATTTTGCACCTTCATCTGATAAGACAATCCCCAAATGTTGCTTGGGTTGTTATTACTATTGTAATATGTTTTTTGCTTAGTTTCATTCTTTGAAGACTTTTAGAAAGTCTTTCAACTTTTCAGGTTTCATAATTTGAATAATTATCAATTTCTTATATCGAGTCAACCAGATAAGCCATAACAGCTAGTGAGATGCTCCTATTTCTAAGAGGACAGATGCCACATCACTGCCTCAGTTCATATTTGTAACTGTCCTTCTCCTTGGATGCTGTATTCATGTCTATTTATTATGAGCAAATTGAAATGATTTTTAAAAATTATTTGGAATCACTGTTACATTTGTTTGGACTAGCTCAATTTATTTTGCTCTGATTAATGGAATAAGTTCATATTTTATTCCAAGTCACCTCCAAATAGTAAATTTCAAATAGAACGTATAAAGTAAGCCGGGCTCGGGTGGCTCAGCCTGTAATCCCGTGCCTTTGGGAGGCTGAGGTGATTGGATTGCCTGAGCCCACGAATTCGAGACCCGCCTAGGCAACTTGGAGAGACCTCATCTCCACAATAAATCAAAAAATTAGCCGGGCGTGGTAGTGCGCGTCTGTAGTTCCAACTACTTGGAAGGCTGAGGTGGAAGGATCGCCGGAGTCCAGCAGGTCGAGGCTGCTGCACTCCAGTCTGGGCGACAGAGTGAGACTCTAACTCAAAAAAAAAAAAAAAAGAAAGCATAAAGTGGAGAAAAGTTACTCAGCCTTATCATGAAACTTTGAACATAAGTAAAATTTAGGCTGGTGTATATTCTTTGTTCAATATCAATAATAACTAATGAAGTGTGATTTTCCAGCTCAGGTCTGTTCAGACACTTGTAAATATCCAGGCAAAAGTATAGTTGGTGGAGTAAAGACTGGAGATTAGAATGAGAATGCCAAATAAGTGATGGCTTTTGAGAATAATTATAGATTTAAAAATGGAAAGGGAAGAAAAAGTAGCCTTTGCTTTATGGAAATCATCTTAAAGTACTAGGTTCGTGTACTAGAAACAACATTGGCACTAATTAGAAAAATGGAATTTAGCACTCTTTAGGAAGATATATGGAATCTCATAATTCTCTCTGATCATTCAGACAATGAATCTAAAATATTCAGAGAAGTAAGTCAGAGACCTTAAGGAGATGTACCCTCTTTTTTATTTTTTATTTTAAAGATGTGGGGTGCAATTCAGGGTTAGGTATACAAATGTTCATTATGCAGGTACTCTTGTTGATGAGGTGGGCCCCTCCCTCCCCTGGCAGTTTCCCTCAACTGCCAATCCTGTCCCCCTCCCCTGGCAGTTTCCCACCACTGCCAATCCCTTTCTTATAGTATTATGATAATTGTTCAAGGTCCACTTATGAGTGAGAACATACGGTACTCTGTTCCTTGTTTCTGTGATAGATCGCTGAGTATGATAGTCTCTGAATCCATCCAAGTTACTGTGAAATCCATATGTTTGTCCTTCTTTATGGCTGCATAATATTCCATTGTGGATATGTGAGACGACACCTCTTGGTGCTATGTGTAGTAGAACAGAGGACCCCAACTTAGGAATTCTCCCAGTCCATGTTGTCATGATGCCATTATTCTTACCTTGGTAGCCAAGGAGTGGGCTGCGCCTGCTTCCAAGAGAACTGAAGCCACATCAACCTGGCCTTCCCGGGCAGAGATGTGCAGTGGTGTATACCCATTTGTAGTGGCTGCATCTGGGTGAGCCATATGTTGTAGAAGTAACTGGACTATTTCTGTCTTACCCAGGCGGGAGGCAATATGCAAAGGTGTCTGTTCCTCCTATAACTCAAGTCAAGAAAAAAGTTAGTGCCAAGCAGACCAAACTTTACCGACAATATGTTTCACTCAGATGTTCCATGAGTGAAATCTTGAATCTCTTCTTGAAATCTCTGGGAACTCCTACCCAAATGGAACTCATTAATACTTTGATGATGGTATGTTTTACATTTTACTATAGAGGTGACCTGTTTAGTCACAAAGTATCCCTTAGATTTTTTTAAAGTACGTTCTTCCATGAATATGGTCATTGTTTTCTGGGCACCCCCAAATTTCTCAACTCATTAAGGCTTCAGCCCCCACTTATGTCTAAATATAAACTAACTCATAGCTTTGAGAAAGAAAGAAATCTAGTCCAAAAGTCCTAAGACCTAGATTCTCATCCAAGAGCTTTCACTTAGAGGCAAGATTTTATTCTGGGAACTCTATCAAGAGAAAAAGAACCAGGGATGCTGGAAAATCATTGTTTTTACTCTCTACTCAGCAAGCCAAGGATACAAATGCTGGCCATTTTTTTCAAGGAGAAACTGTGTATAAAGAAGATATTGTAATCTGGTTTAAAAAGATGTTGTTTCAGGAAATGCTGCAGATGGGTCTGGGACTTGCATCCAGGACTTCAAAGATGAAATGGAACTGGCAAGAAGTAAATAGGGTAAACTATTTGCCAAGTGCTTTTCATTTAAAAAACAGAGGATATAGCCAGAGAGAAGGGACAGGAAGGACATGTTTGAGGAAGCTCAAGAAATCACCTGACTCTAATGTGTAGCCTGAAATAATGTTTCCAGTGTTAAGAGAACCAGGTCAAACCCACTGTCTCTTGCAAAGAGAAAACTGAGTGTCATCTTAGTGATAAAAAGAGACATATCTTTACCATCTGCCCAAGGGCATGTCACAATAAAAGGAAGGAAAAGCTAGGCTGGCTTCCAGGAATAAGAATGAATGAAGAAAAGATATACCAGGTGCCAAAAAAATGCATACATGTTTAAAGAGACGTTATCGATGTATTACTTTTCAAAGTTGAACTGAATTACAGTAGCAATGTGTAATTGCAGAAGTCAAACATGACTTGTATTCATCTTTTGTTATGAAGATCTGTCCAGAAAAATGAAGTATCTTAAAGTTATAAGAAAATAAAGAGAAACATATAGTAAGAGATAAGATAGCATTGCATGGATTTCATAGATGGTGAGAAATAAATAATAGAAATATAATTATTTTAGTAGTAGAACTAGCATTTTATAAAAATTTTCAATTTATAAACTTTTTTCATGTATGATACATACGTCACCCTGTCCTTATAATAGACCTGAAAGGAATGCATAAAATTTATTATTAGACCATTTTCAAGATAAAGAGATTAAGAAAAATTAAATGAGTTCTCAAAGATTGTCCAAGGTCACTCAGCTATTAAAACAGAACTTGAACTCAGGCATTGGATTCTAAAGACAACATTTCTTTGCCTATACATTCTACAGAAATAAATACAATAAGATGGTCAGTAGCAAAACTAACAGGACATAATGATTCTCTATAGGAAAAGAGACTGACAATGCATTAGAAGATAAAACTATCTGAAATACAGAGGAGGAAAAAAAGAGGAATGGAGAGAACGAATAGTCATAAAAATAAATGGCTAGCAAAACAATTAAAAAACCAAGGAATTTGAGAATGGCTATAGTGAACATCTGATGTTTCTGGAGTTTCCTTCTCAGACCTCTGCCCTGCAGAGTTTGACAGAGTTGGATAATGCAAGTGACACACTCTAAAATGTGTTTTTCAATGAGTAAGGGGACGAGTTGGGGTGATCATGACTCTTCAACCCATAGCTAAGCAGTTACCATCCTTGACTGGCAGTAGCTATGTAACTGGTTAAACTATCAACTATGATCCTTGTTTCTCAGATCATAAAGAATCTGTTAGGAAAAAAAAAAGTTAAGAGGCCAGGCATGGTAGTTTATGTCTGTAATCCCAGCATTTTGGAAGGTGGAGGCATGGAAGACCATTTGAGACCAACCTGGACAACAGAGTGAGACTTCATCTTTACAAAAAAATCCAAATAATTATCTGGGTGTGGTGGTGCATATCTATAGGCCCAGCTACCTGGGAGGCTGGAAGATTGCTTGAGCCCAAGCATTAGAGGCTGTGGTGAGTGGTGACAGTTCTACTGCACTCTAGCCTGGGCGACACAGTGAGACCCCAGCTCAAAAAAAAAAAAGTTAAGAAATAAGATGTCTTGCCCACTTTTTTCCAATTTTGGTACAGTCCTATGGAAAGTGAAAAAGGAAAGAACATACAAATTTTGCTAAGAAAACCTTTCAACCCGGAACCAGGGATTTAAGATCTTTTGAGGTTTAGGCAATTATTTCCCTGTGGGACTGCAAAAGCTGAATTTACTGCCCCAGTGTAAAGTTAACTCAAGCCAAGGCAAAGAACTGAGAAAATGCAGAAGATAAGACTTATGGAAAGAGGTATAGAAATAGGGGAAGCCTGGTCCCCTAGTTTCTTCTCAAATAAAAGAGACGATAATTCCCACATGGTAAAGCATCACTAGCTGATGCAGCCTGAACCAGGGGGCAGATAAGCTCTGCTCTGCCTCCGTAACCTATTATTTTATTTACTTCCAGGCAACCAAAATTAGGGAGACTTGCTGAACCCCAAGTTCTTTTAAAAGAGACAGAAATATAGTGGCTGGGACAAGGCTCAAAAATTTGATAAAATTTCTGCTACTAGTTACTAGCTAAAAGGGTTCCCAGAAAGAAATCTCCTGGCAGCTAACTAAAGTTCTAGATAAAGTTTATTAGGTTAAGTTTCAAGTGAATTTAAGCCTAGGGATCTTGTGATTGCTCATTCCTAAAGCAAATAACAGTCCCCGTAATGGTGCCAACAGGACATGCTCCTAAAACAAGAGAGCTCCCAGTGGAGTGGCCCGCTCAGTCATGTCCACTGAGGACACTGGACAAGGAAGGACCTTCCTGAGAGCAGAGGTTGGGGGCAAACACACTGGCTGACCAGGGAACTCAGGCCACTGCAGCCCTTGCTCTCCAATCTGTCCACCAAATATGTCTTATGCCCTGGAATTTTGAAAAGAGAGATGTTATTGTGATTATACGGTTTTTCTTTTGTCATATATTGGGAGTAGGCAAAAACATGATTTAGCCCTGTTATTATCTAACTATGAGATATTATTTCAAAACCTCTTGGAGAAAAATAAAGACTACCTAGAGATCTCGACTTTGGAGCTCAATGTAGAGGCTGGGTATAATTTTTTACTATCTTCCTATCAGGAAAGGGTGGATTCTAAAGCAATGGTGTTAGGTTAGGAAAGGATGTTTTCAAAAATGTGTGTATGTGTGCTGGGGAACCAAGAGATAAAACAGAGCAGATATGTGTTAAGTTTTCCTCCCAATACCTCCAATATCCATCTTCTAGGAACAGAACTCCAGCCTTTGGGGGAAGTGGACATCCCATACTACATGTGGCTCTAGAAGGGCTGCCAATCATTTTACTCCATCTCATAAATGGGTCACATGAATGGACACGAGTCCAAGCTTGATCCTATATCCTGGTCACAGTCATCAGCTCAGGGAGGGAATGTGACCAATTAGAAACCAGTGATTTATTGGGAGAGAGAAGGCTTTCTTCACATTTGAAAAGGGAAGTAATGAGGTCAGCAGAGAGACTTAGGAGAAACATACAGAACCAGAAGAGAAATCCTTTCTTATCCTAACTCTGTGAACACAGGCCAGTCAGTACAGTCTTGAATTTTAGAATCTGAAGCCACCCTACAACACAGGGCTGTTTATGTATCAAGTAAGATAATTTGTGTTTAAATGCTTTATGAATTATCAAGCACTGTACAATTACTAATCAAATAAAAGAGTTCTAGGGTAACATTAAATGATTAAATGAAAATAAAAAATCAGGCTGGGCTCAGTGGGTCAGCCTATAATCCCAGCAGTTTGGGAGGCTGAGGCAAGTGGATTGCCCAAGCTCACGGGTTCAAGACCAGCCCAGGCAACTTAGCAAGACCTCGTCTCTACAATAAATTAAAAAAAAAAAAATTAGCTGAGCATGGTAGTGCACGCCTGTAATTCCGGCTACTTGGAAGTCTGAGGCGGAAGGATCGCCGGAGCCCAGCAGGTCGATGCTGGGGTTGCCATGAGCGTGCCACTGCACTCCAGCCTGGGCAACAGAGTGGGACTCCAACTCAAAAAAGATAAATAAATAATGGTCAAAGTGCACCTTAAAATAGAACATGTGTAAAGGAAAACCTAGCTCCTTGCTGCTCAAAGAATACTCTGAGCTTCAGGAGCACTGATGTCACCTGTGAGTTTGTTAGATACACAGAACTGAATTACAATATGTATTTAACAGGGTCCTCAGGTAACTTTTATGCATATTGGCCTCTGGGGAGCACTCTTCTTAAGGCTATGGAATTTTTCCTGTACATAATAGAAGGATGATATAGGGAAGGGATTTCAGTTACAGCTTAGAATAGGTGGTAAGGCTGAAAAGCAAAAGTAAACTAAAGACAATATATGAAATTTGATATATAAATTAAGAGGAATAAAAAATTAAGAGATATTTTTATATCTAAACTACAATACTAAAGTAGCTGCAAAAGAGAAGTAACAAGTAGAACTGATGGAATCTGTGTATAAAACTAATTATTAATTAATGCTATAATATTTCAAAGAAAAGATTCTGTAGCCAGGGGTGTTTTTAAGGAAGAGGCTTCAGAAGTAAGGCCCAAAAAGAAGTAAGGCTATAATAATAGGTTATCTGTATTTCTGTCAATACAGAAAAATTTGGCAGAGATACATGAAAATGAGTTAAATTTTCATTAAAATATAATAAATTTAAATGTGAATAACAGAAAAACATTTAAGGGTTTCATTTTAAGAGAGAGATAGAAAATTCCTTTATTATAGAATATGGATTACAAAAACTTTACACAAACATTAGCACAGTTTTTGGTAAAAATAGTGAAGTACATAATACTCAGAATGCATTGGTTATACATACACATATTTTTAAAATAGCTGAATGCCAGATTACCTTAAAAGGAAACCAGAAAAATGCCAAGGCATGGGAAAAATGGGTTGAACAACAAAAGATTTCAATATGTAAGAACATAATATACCAACGATGTTTATCAAAGAACATAGATTATTACACTGTGTGGACAATGGATCGAAATGCAGGTAAAATCTAAAACAAGAGTAATGTCAAGGCTGCCCTTGAATCACTGGATTCTGCGTGAAGATCTACGGAAACTGTTATGAGTTTTAAACTTAAATCATTGAGTCAGAGAAAGTTAAAGAAGTCTGGAAAGAAGCTTTGAGGTTTCTGGGTTTAACCCTCATATTTTACTGATAAAGTCCTAGAAATGAAATAACTTGCTGGAATCACAATTTGAATGGCTATAGCCAAATGCTTTCTTCCAGTATGACACTATTTCTAAAGTGGAGTTATGATGGTACAACACAAGTTGAAATGAGTTCTAACTGAGATGTATCAAATATTGAAAGACAGAAAGTGTTTCTGAGTCCAGAAGAATTCTAGTGATGCTAGTTCACAACATGGAAAAGGAAACAGAAGATACAATACACTGATAGAAATTACTGGTGAATGTAGTGTAAAGGAGAGTGAGAAAATAAATTGGAAAGAGAAATTGAAAAAGAAGGAAGGAGAAAAGGAAGAGAAGAAGGAGAGGAGAAGAAGGGAGAAGGGGGAGGAGGAGGGGGAGAAGGAAGAGGAGTTGGGGAGGGGGTGGGGGGTAGAGGAGGAGAAAGAAGAAGAAGAAATAATTAACCTGTGAGGCAATTGGAAGTCATTAGAAACATGACACAAGTCTGGTCAAGCACTCTCCATTGCCCAAACTCTATTCTGAACAGTGGAAATGCAGCAAGTCTAAATATGTAAAATCAGAGTAGAAAGAAAAATAGAAATCATTATGAATAGGAGAGAAATAAAACAGATGAAAGGAAAACTTTGAGTATGGTTTGCTTTCAAGTATAACTAGTAAGGGATGACCACACAAATGTGGTTAGTTTTGGAGGCAAAAAAAAAGAATTTTAATATGTACAGCATCTATATAATATAGGTTAAATTTTACAATTCATGAAAAGAAACTAGGTCTAGGTACTGATGAAGATAAAGTAACAGCAGAGAAACCCAGGGCTGCAGCTCCTGAAGAGACCCGCCTATCCCTGAGGGCGATGAGGATGTGTCTCTCATGGAAGAAGTAGATTAAAATTTACACTTGGAAACCTTGTGCCCTCTGTTGAGTGTCCCCAGGCCTCCCACAGCAGCCTTGAGTGGCCCTGTCCCATCCAGCTCCCTCTGCAAATGGTTAGTGTTTGTTATTTTTCCCTCCTGTCCTTGTGTTTAGGGCAGGACACAAGAGCTTCCAGCCCATTCCCTCACTAATTTGACAACAGGATTGCAGATTTTGTATTGCAGGGTTTTTGTTTTTTGGTTTATTTTCTTCTGAAATTAAAATACGCAAATAAAAACATTCATAAATATAAAGAGATATATGAAAGTGCTTTCTTAGGTTGAAAATTATTAAAATGTTAGTCAATGCCATATTTCTTAGATACTAAGTTGTACATTTTTTCACACGTTAATGGTTCTGAAATTGGGATGTATTTTTCATTGTGTATATTTGTGCATATAGCGTTTCTGTTTCTCCTGAAAAACTGCTATCGAATTGATGCTTTTGCTGGCATTTCCAAGTCAAGAAGCTGAAGAATACCACTCTCTCTTAAAGATGAGACTCATGAACTGCAATAGAACTGACTCTGGAAGCACCAGCACTTACCCTGGCTCTAGCATCGACAAGGGCACCGTTTCTCAGGAGGCATCGGACCACTTCCACCTGCCCCGCTCGGGCTGCCATGTGCAGCGCCGTCTCCCCACGCTGCCAGAAGACAAAGATTGTGAAATCATAAATAAACCCACTGTTCTGGATGGAAAAAAATAAAGCCGTCCCTTTTTGTGAAATTCAGCAATCAATCCAAGGATTTAAGAAATCTAAGAAAAGGCATAATTATTTAGTTTGGAAAAATATATAGTTTTGCATCATCTCCATCTTTGTAAGGAAAAAACAAAAGTTTCTTAAATTTTTTTTTCAGTCCATGACAAGCTAGTGAACTTACCCAAACATCCAGGATACCCTGAGGTTTAACTGAACAATAAACCTAGCAACCTAATAAACAATAAACCTACAAACCTAATTTGTGTCATTGTCGCACCTAACCATGGGATCACAACTTCAATCCATTTCAGTGAGAAGCTCTAGATGCTGAAGATCAAATCAACATGTTATAAAACATTTACATCACTTTACCATACATAAAGCACTTCTTTTCAAATTTCAATTTATTTCTGAAATAAACTATTATTTTACATCTGATTTGTTTTTGTTATGAGACTACACAAAGACTATCCATACAAAACATCTGATTTGCCCACGAGATTCCCTATTTAAGGTTAATGAGCATATTTAATTATAGACAGTTATTTGAAAGAGCCACTGAGAGGAGAGTAAAGTAACTGTTAACAGTATCATCTGTAGAGGTAGGCTGCACCAAGCATCACATCATTTGTCAAGTATCTTCCACACGAAGGTATGACACTCATCAGGAAATAGTGGTTTAAGGTGCAATTTAGAGGATGAAGGTTAGATTAAGAGAACTTTCTCACCGAGAAGCAGGTTATTACTCTACTGCCTGTAAGAGAGAGGTTTTTAAAGAATCGGCAAGTTTTAAAATCATATGTAGTTTTAAAAAAAGGCAGGCTTTCATTAATTCAAATAATGAAAGTTATGACAGAAGATATTGGAATAAAAATATTACAGATTGATTCACCACAACTATTCTAGAAAATAAGACTGATATAAAATAAACCATTCCAAATAAACTAAATGGATTTTAAATTTTGTTGGGGTAATTGGATATTTCTGACAAACTCAAGTGAGTAATTTCTTTTGATTCTTTGCACAACAAACCCTTAAATCTAGAAACTTTAAGGGTGAACTTTAATTTGGTACATAGCTCACAGTTTATTTTTCCCTGTATTCAGAGGCCCATTCGTTTTGACGTTATGACAGGTTTGTGTCAAATGATCTGATTGTGAAAGCATTACATTGATGTCTACTCGAATTTTCTCTTCTTTGTGAATTACTCATTTATCCTCTAGTGGCCTTATTTTCTGATGATAAATTTTGACTTTTGTACAGTAAATGTAGCTAGAGTATATTGTTTAATAAAATGACATATTATTGGAATAGCAATATTTGTCTTCAGACTTTAGATGTCTGGCAAGATTTTTATCTTTGGACAACCATGATTTCTAACTCGTTTTCTGTATCACTTAAAACCTGTCTCTACATAGATGAGGCTAAGATCTTCCAACTACAGCTGTCCCCCTGTATTGGTGGGGGATTGTTTTCAGACCTCCCCACCGCTGATACCAATATCTGCAGATGCTCAAGCTCCTTAAATACACCAATATAGTATTTGTTTATAACCTGAGCACATCCCCATGTATATTTCGTATCATCTCTAGATTACTCATAATACCTAATGCAATATAAACACTATGTAAATAGTTGTTATGCTGTATGTATTTTTAAAACTTGTACTATTTTTTATTGTTGCAATATTATTTATTTATTTTTAATATTTTCATTTCAGGTTAATTAAATTCATGGATGTGAAAACCACAGATACAAGTGAACCCACGGTATAAATACTGAGGGCTGATGGTATTAAAAAAAAATTCAAATCTTTACACTGTTTCTAGGTAGGATAAAAGGCTTGCAATTTTACTAATTTTGATAGAAACAAAGGCAAGAATATATTTCCTTATAAGAAGTTAAGTTAAAGAGGTCTCAGGAGTTCCCATTCAATGATCAATTTACACATTTATTTTATAAGCCAAGCTTTATCAACAATGGGCTTCCAAAATCTGAAAACACTTCCAAACTAGTTAATACTTCTAAAACCCATATTTTATACTCAAGTTATTTTCATGGTTTTTGCATTGGAAATTGAGTTAGATTTAAAACCTAAAGTGTTAAACTTTTATTCAAAGAAAAGTTCCGCAATATATATACACATGATCTTTCCACTTTATAACCATGATCTTGTTTAAACCTTATTTAATGACTCTAGGGTAACAATTTTTATTGTAAATTGCCCTTACTCTTTTTATTTATATTATTATTATTTATGTATTACTATATATAAGAAAATGAAGGACAGTATATATTGTTTTGATCAAAACTTCCATTTCTTGATTGTTGGGCACCCCATTTTATTCGTCGTCTTTATCTTATTGAGTATCTCTTGTTTTCCTGGTCTTAATTTAATAAAACTTAAAGATTGAGGTAAATTTTTTAGTGTTTTTTTTTCTTTATTTCAATAGCTTTAGGGAATATTAATAGTTTTTGGTAACATGGTTGCATTGTACAGTGGCGAAGAAGTCTGGGTTTTAAGTGTACCCACCACCCCTACCTGTGCACACTGTAGATAGGTGACATTTTTGGCCCTTTACCCTTTTCCCCATTCCCTTTTGAGTCTCCAATGTCCATTATATTACTTGGATTGAGGGAAACTTTTAAGCATAATGTAAAGTGTGGACTTTACAATGAGTTCATTCATTTGTTATAAGAAGAGGAAACTTTGAAATACCCTACACTCTACTCTCGATAGTTGTTTATATGCTTGACTTCTACCCTTCTGTTGTCAATGAATACTCTGGATTATGGATGTATTGTTACTGGCAGTTCAGTCTTCTAGGTTTCAAAGTGTATCTACACGCTTTCTGAAAAAGGAACTTTTCAATAAATATATCTGTACATGATTGAGTTATTGGAATACCTCACACTTGAAGTGAATTTTCAGACAAAAACAAGACTGGCGAGAGAATGGGTATGCTCACGTCCAAAGCAGGTACCACTTTCATGCCACTCTTCTCAGTTGTTAAAACTTACTCTGCCGACAGCTGCATTGACTTCCACAGGGCCGCATCAAGTTGGAAAGCATCAAAGCACAACAAACAGCATTGCATTCAAAAATGCATCATGGCTTCAGGCAACACACAAAGCCTCCAAGGGTAGGGTACTCTGGGGCCAAGAATGACCAACTCTGACACAGCAAGCAGGCAATCAGTGTGCACACGGTTTCTTAATCAACTAGCAGAGAGTTTGAATCCAGTAGCTATAACCTCATGTTCTGAGAATACACAAGTTCACAGGCATCCACTGCTACAGAAAGTCAAATTCCTTTAAATGTGGGATTGCCAGATTTAGCACATAAAAATGCAGGGCGACCAGTTAAATTATAATTCCAGATAAACAATGAATAATTATTTTAGTATGTCTTTAACTATTGCATGAACATAATTTATACAAAAATCCATTGTTTATCTGAAATTCAAATTTAACTGGGAATCCTATTTTATCTGGCAATGCTATCTATAAGTATCTGTTTCCTAAAGGACACATCTTACAAAAATAAAAATGAACAAACAAAAAATAACAAGAAAACATGGGGCGGGAAAGAAGATCATATTGGTATGTACCTCTCAAGTATTTGTTTTAAGGAGTTAGAGGGAAAGAGAATTTAATGGATAAATGGACAGATAAAACAAAATGCAGAACTTTAGAATGACCATAAGTTGGAAATTAAAGTTTAAGACAATTAAATACAATTGTCAAATTTGGGTATTTTCAAGAGACTGAAAGGATGTCAAAATGCTTATTATTTCAATTGGTTTTTATTTTATTTGAAAATCTACATGTAGGCTATATAGATTTATGTTAATAGAGGGGAGTATATTATAACTCTATAACCATCAAAAGATTTTGAATTGGTCACAGTTAAGAAGCAAATTAGGAGTGGCCACAGAATCCTACAATCATTTTATGTGGATTATTCTTTGAAGATTTTGTAAAAATTTTCACTAAAAGAGATTAACCTAGGGGTTTGCAATCAAGCACCCCTAGAAAATTCTTGCACAAGTTATTATAACATGATGACACAATTTAACATAACACTACTATTGTTCCTGCGATCATGTAGGCATTGGAAGGCAAATAATAACAGGTAAGTAAAAAAGGGGAACGTGGGTAAGTACACAGAGCATTTATCTTGAAGGTCACTGAGCTGTTTTATTAGTCTATTCTGGTCTCTATTTAAAAAAAACGAAAGGTGGTCATCTTTTTAAAAATAAAAGGATGATGATTACTTTTAAAGTTCTAAGAAGTGATTAGAAATTAAACTCAAGTTTTCACGTTGTGAAATTACTCTTCTGCTTAATGGAGTAATTAATGATTAGCATGTAATATTATGCCCTTAGGACCAATAAGCTATAATTAAGAACACTTTATAAACATAGGCTTTAAATTCCTTAATGGCATTACGTTGCAATCGTTGAATAATATGGAGAGTACTATAATGTGAAGACAGAGTATTAAGTAATATTTAAAATCAAATAAATTTATTTTCACATAGGATTTTGTCCAGGTATCAGAAACTTCCACAGGGAAACGGTGTGTAAAATACAGAGAAACAAAAATTTGAGAGGCAATATAAATAAAAGTGAATTTGGATATTTTGTTTCACAACTTAAATGAAATGAGATATCTAAAATTAGCAACAATAGTCAATCAATTGATTTTGAAAATATGATTCACTTTAATAATAAGCACTGACATTTATTTGGGGAGAGTTATTTCAGCTGTACTTGTGAATCTCAATACTCCAGTGGTCCCTCTGGAACTTTAAATACATAACAGCACATGGTGCAGGAAGTTCTCTAGCTCAGGAGAAAACGTGCATTAGATGGTTTGCCATGATACAGTTACCAGACACAGTTTAATGGAGCAGCATCCAAGAACATGGGAGAAATACAAAGAAATCAGAAGTCAAGAATCCTGATTTAGATTAGATAGAAGAATTCTGAGATAACCAGTGTTTGTTGACAGAATGAAAAGGGTCTAGAGTCCAACATTCATTTAGGACAGAATGAAAGGGGTCTGGAGTCCAACTTTCAGGGAGACCTCTACTCTAGCAAACAAAATCAAATCAAAAGCAAAAATTAAAGTAAGGTTACAAAACAGGAAATCCATGTAATTGAAGGAGGGAGAATTTGATATCAAATAAAAATTCCTAACATCTTGATCTATCTCTGGTTAATCTTTTGATAAGATTGATTATAGTACTGGCTTGATGTTTTATTGAAAATTATCTGGAATAAAATTCACTCTGGCACTATGGTGAGCTCTGAAGATTTTATTCCAAGCAATCATCCATTCACTTTCAGAGGAATTTTAAAGCGTATTTTGTTTTAATAAATGCATTTAAGATGCATGTTAAATCCATCTGCCCCAGGAAGCCTAAGCTGCCTCATTCCACAGCTTCCATTTTATTTTCTAACACATTTACCCTATCCAGTTCTTTTCAGTGACGTTCTAGCAAATATCTCAATAATATGCTATCACGAGGGCCCTTCTCAAAGCTTGGCTGCTCACCTTGACGACATACACAGAAACATGCATACACACACCCACACTCTCTGCTCCCCTTGCTCTTTCTCCCTGTGGTTATTCTGACCCAAGCCATACTCACAATGTTAGTGACATCTGGAGAGGCTCCGTTCTGCAGCAGAAGGAGGACAATGTTCAAGTGGCCCATGAAGGCAGCCACATGTATTGGTGTGAGGCCAGACTGCGAAACAAAGCAACAGCAGTTTTACTCCTCTGCACCGGTGGGGTTTGGGGGCTTCTTCAGATAAGTAAAACTTGAGTGAAGAGGACAGCAGATGGGAGCAAGGAAGGGGAGGAAGGCGTGAGAGAAGGAATGCTTTGTGGTAAGCTGAAACATTTTTCTACCTCTGTTATAGCTTGGATTGAAGCCCCATATTTCACCAGCAGTTCCATGACTTTGATGCGGTTTTTCTTGCAGGCAATGTGCAGTGGAGTAAAACCATTCTGTGCAAAAGACAATCAAGTTAGTTGAAAACATGCAGAAACGATTCTCACACAACTCCATGCTGGCACATTGCAGGCAATAATGTTACATTGTCACATAATGTTACCATTGCTGCAAATCCTGTAGCTGTTGGAGTTTGGAAAGTAAAGTGGTAGCATGTTCCTGTAGGCACTCAACTTTGCTTATAGGTGGTAGACCTGTATATAATTGTTTGTGTGATTACAGAAAAAACAAAGGTGAGCAAAAATACATGCACCTACTCTTCAAAGAAGGGAAAATTGAAGAGCAATTATATATTGGAAGTCCTAAAGTGTTTTAAGATATATTGATTGGTCAATTATGAAATGACAAAGATTCATCAAAAAAGATGCATATATTTTTCTGATGAAGAGTTATTTCTCAGAGCTTAAGAACTGTTCATCTATTTCAAAAATCTAGGAACATAGTTGACTCTACAATAAATATTTCAGTTTTTCTTTTAAAAAGAGGTGGTTCAAATTGGCAAATTATTTATATTGATAATGTTTTCACCCAGAAACTATATTTTTATATTAGGTTGTTATAAAATATATGCCAATCAGGCAAATTTCTTATAAGAAAATGATTATTAAATTCCTAAATATTTTCAAGGAAAGTGTGAAGAATTTCTGGGATAACTGGAAGGGGATTCTCTGGAAAGTGTAGAAGTCTCTAAGGTACTTTCTAACTTTGCAAACTCTAAATTTTTTCTAGGTTAATGCCTGCAAATTGGGGAAATTAAATAATAATTTGTTAGCTAGACCCACTCTTACTCATTATGTATTTGTACTTGTTATTTTTTTAATTTGAATAGTGATCCTTTGTTGAGTTATATCTATTCTGCCGGATAACACTTTTGCATGTTCCAACATGGACTAACTATCAGTCAATATTTTTATAATAGCAGTCCTCAGGAAAGCATATGGTCTTACTTAAGTGGATGACTTCTGACTCTTCACAATGGAGTAATTAATATAATTAATTTGTTGTCATTTCCCCTGTTTATGAGCTATAGAATATGCCAGATAGAAATAGCCACATGCACATGCAGCACATAAAATATTTGCACTTATTAGATTGCGATATTTTACAAGCCTAGTGATCACTATCCAACTGAATATTAATGTCTTTGACTCCTTACAAGAAAACAAATATTCATACATAATAGCACAAACCCTGAAAGTATATTCACTTCCCAGGTTATTATTAATAAATTGATTCAATTGGAAAAATTCTCATAAAATAATATAAAATATCGGATGATTCTAATGATATTCTCTCAACTGATTGTCTGAAGACAAATTTTAACTGACATAAACCATGTAAAAACATAGAAAAAAGCATTTGCTTTTAGTTTGGGAATTAGAAAACAAGAGGCATAAATTAGTACATGCTGAATACTTCCAATGATTATTGTTAGACTATAGGTGAAGCAAGGACGATTTATTCAATATGAGACCTTGGGAGACACAGAAGCTGCTCTAGGGACAGCCTCTTGCAGTTTTCTCTCGAGTTGTTCCTGGAATTGTTTATATAAAATGTTTCCTGTAGCAGCAATATACCAGGCATTGCTTTTCTGTTAGCCTATGGTTAGGTAATCTAGTCAATAAGGAAAATCTCCAAGTAAACTCTTCACAGGCTCACATTTTATGCTGCCTTACATAGCCAAGTATATTCACCACTTTAACATCTTTTTCCAAAAAGAAATTAATAAAGTTCAACTTTATTCTACACATACATTCTAACTTTATCTAAAGGTATCTAGAACTTATTTTGTAATTTCTTATTTTTCAACTTCTATTTTCCAGTTAAAATTGCTTATCACTCCAGAGGTTTCATATCTGACTGTTTGCAACTCACTAGTTTCAGTTACCTTGGTGTTTTCTTAAATATACTCTTGCTCACCAGCATTTAATAGCAAATTAAGAAGGCATGAAGTAGGCAGGCTGCTTGTAGGGGGTTGGGAGGGTGACAGATTTAGCAGAGTAAACTACATATCTGTAACCATGCATTGCTGGTGTAGGTATTACTGCTCAATCAATGTGGGTTTGCTTGTCTCAATCTGTATTCAGTTAATGTGGACTGGGCCAGGTTTACCAGGGCTCTGGCGTTCGGATTGGCTCTCTTGTCCAAAAGGAGTTTGGTTACGCGGTAGTGGCCACAGTGTGCAGCAACGTGGAGGGCCGTCAGGTAGTCCAGGGTGACATCATCAACAGGTGCCTTGTGCTGTAACAGGTGCTTCACACATTCCACATGGTCCCCCTGTGCAGCCATGTGAAGTGGAGACAGCCCGTTCTGCACATACAAAAATAATAGAAAAACAAGTCCACATTTTTTCCCATTATTTTCAGGTTCCAAAATACAGTGAAGTCAAGTCTTGATCTTTAACATAATTAATGGCAGGAGAAAAAATAATTTCCATTTGACATCAGAATATATAGCAGATTGTGTTTGCTGGAGGAGGAAGTGAAGAGAACAGTTAATTTCATAATTATGCTATCAGAGTCAAAAACAAAATTAGTATGTATTTCATGAATGAATACATAGTAGGTGTGGTAATTCAGCCTAGTTTTGCAGTTATTAGGACACCATTAGATATGTAAACATAAGTGATAGCTGGCACTTAAATTGTTCGTATCTAAATTCATACATTTTTTGTTTTTGTCTTTTTTGAGTCAGGGTCTTACTCTGTTGTCCAGAGTGCAGTGGTACAATCATGGTTCAGCACAGCCTCGACCTTCTGATCTCAGGCAATCCTCCTGCTTCAAACTCTTGAGGAGTTGGGACTACAGGTATGTACCACCATGACTGACTCATTTTTTAAAAAATGTTTTGTAGAGAAAGTCTCACCATGTTAGTTAGGCTGGTCTCAAACTCCTGGGCTCAAGTTATCTCCTGCCTCAGTCTGCCAAACGGTTGGGATTACACGTGAGCCACCATGGCCAGCCAGTCTTCATTCATTTAACTCCTCTGCCTCCTTTTCTTTACTTGTAAATAAGGAGGGAGGCGGGTGAAGGAGGAGTGAGTGGGTGAGCCAGGGAAGTATGGAAACTTTGATTATCCCTTAGGTCTGAAATTTTGTGATTCCTTTTTCCTATAGTATTATGAGACTTAAATGGAACTTGGAGAGAGCAGGCAGGTAGGAGCTAGAAGAGTGTGAGACAAATATGGAACGTGTGCCAACCACCTTACAACTATTAAATTTGAGGATAATCTGAATTTGCCATCATTGATACTGCCTTGATACAGCTTTGACCTTCATTCTAAAATAAGGTCAACAGCAGGAACATAAGATAGCAGGGCAATGCACTTCATTTTTTTATTTTTATTTTTTTGAGTCAGAGTCTCTTTCTGTTGCCCAGGCTGCAGTGCAGTGGTAGACTCACAGTCACCACAGCCGCCATCTGCTGGGTTCAGGCGATCCTTCCCCCTCAGCCTTCCAAGTAGCTGGAACTACAGGCATGAGCCACCATGCTTGGTTAATTTTTCTGATTTATTGTAGAGACGATGTCACGCCAAGTTGCCCAGGCTGGTCTTGCCCCTGGGCTCAGGCAGTCCTCTCACCTCCGCCTCACCAAGTGCTGGGATTACAGGTGTGATCTACCGTGCCTGGTGGCAACACACTATTAAGTATCAGTCTAGATAAGACTCTCTTTTAAAAAAGGTATATAAGTAAACTTACAGAAAGCAATATATAAAGTTAGAAAATAAATTAAATTACAAAAATATTTGCCTATTAAAGAACTGAAGTGTTGTCTTTTCTTAATAACCAACGCAAATATGGTTACTAGAAGTATGATTGTTGACCGAGTATTTAGCTTGGCAGTCACTACATTCAGTGAAGCAGAAATTGTGTCTAGATGAGATGCCAAAAAAGTCATTAGTCCAATATTCTCCACAAGGGAAGTGATTTCAACAGTGAGGGAAAACAATAAACAAATGCATTAATTAGTAACTGTGGTAGAGTATATGTAACTTTAAAATATTTATATATTTTTCTTCATTTTTGAAATGATCTTCATTCATAATGATTGTTTTTATATTTGAAAATCCATTAAATGAATTTAGAAATGAGGAACAAACTGATGCAAAGGTATATGCATTGAGGGGATGATAAAGTAAAAGGTAAAGTATAGGAGAAAATCTACAATGTTTGGACAATGTGTGGACTGGAGTGTGACATATTTCTCTAAAATCTTATCATTTTTTGATGTGGTTTTATCTACTTGAAGATTGTTTATGTATAAAATAAAATATTCACCATTTAATTCTTTGTTCATTTTACACATATTTACTTGCACCTATTCAAGATCTGTTCAAGTGCTGTGGTTACAGCAAGGAACAGAACCGACAGGGAATCCATGTCTTCAGTGAGGTTACATTTTAGTGTGGGAGACAGACATTTCCAGTGTGGGAGACCGACATACAACTAAAAAATAAGAAGAATAAAATATATAGCATGTCAGAAGGCCATCAATGCTAAGGAGGCCATCAATACTAACTAAAGCACAGAGTGCCCAAGGGAGTTTGTGTGAGTGCAATTTTGATGGAATGGCCAGAAATGCCCTCACTGAGAAGCTGAGTTTTGACATGATGAAGGTAAGAGAGTTGGTCCTGTTGATTTGGGGGAAGAACACTTGAGGCAGAGAAAAAAGCAAGTGCATACATGTCGTGTTGGGATCATACCTGGTATAATCGATGTTGACAAACAGTAAGGAGGAGAATGGGACTGAAGACATACGAATGAGGTGGGTGAATAAGGAGAAGAATTCAGAGGTAAGAGACTTGCAGGTTTGACTTTTACTCAGGAATAGATGGGGTGCTGTTGGAGAAACAGAGTCACTCTGGTGGTTGTGTTGAGAGTAGATTGAATAAACTAAAAGGAAAAGAAAGGAAGCCTGTTAGGGTTTCTTGCCATCCTCCAGGAAGGCTTGGTGGTGACCTGTGCCACAGTAGTGATGACGAGATTGTTAAGAAGCTGCTGACTTAGTGATACTTTTTGAAGGAAGAGGTGAAAAAATTTGGTGATAGGATATGGAGAATAAGAAAGAGAAAAGTCCATAATGACTTGAGGTATTTGACCTGAGAAAGTGAAAGAATGAGGTGGCCATTGATTGAGATAAGAAAGGGTACAGGAAGATTAGGTTTGGGGTGGGGAATGATATCAGGAGCTCAAACTAACTAAATCTGAGATGCTCAGAAGACATCCAAGCAGGAATAGTCAGCTGACATCTACATAAGAAAACTTGGAGAAATACACTTGGGTGGCATCAGCATATAAGTACTATTGAAATAAAGAACTGCATGAGATTTCAGAGTGAGTACAGCGAGACCAAGAAAAGACCTGAGAGATGAGGAAGAAATAGTAAAGGAGTTTGAGAAGACACAGCTAGAAAAACAGAAGGAAAGTTAGAAGAATGCAATGTCCCAGAAGGCAAGTAAGGAAAGTATTCTGAGAAGGTAAGAGTAAGCAATCACGTCAGATGATAATAAGAGGAGAAACAAATAATATGGACTCTGGGTCAAGGAATTGGATGGATATGAAGGTCTCTGGAAATTATCTTTTGATTGCTTCAATTTTCCCACTGCTGTAGGAAGTGAAGATAAGGAAAGAAGTCTAAGAACATTGGAGGAAATACAGAAGACTCGGGTAGCAGGAAGCAAGAGTGCGTAGACTTGGAAAATACAGTGTGATTACTGGCCAACTTGAGGTTTGTAATCATGATTCAAAGAGAGCCCAGTCTGTGTGGTTGAGTATTTTCTACAGTCACATTCAGCTGCATGAATGTGAGCGGAGTTTAATCAGAGTAATATGCAGGAGGTGAGTATGAATATGTAATAGAGTGGTATAAATGACTGAAATTTATGTTGGGCAGAGGTGAGAGCATAATGTTAAAGAGGAACAGTGAAAACTATGGCTGAAGGTCTCAGCAGAATGAAAGAATTTCTGGAATTGGGGATTTGGAGAGAGTGAGATGACACATAAGATAGGGTGGTTGGCAACTGGGAGGTTAGACACAGAAATTATAGAGGGTTTACAGTGACCAAACTGAGGGGTCAGAAGAATCTCCTACTGCTTTTATCAAGATTATTAAAGTCTTCAAGAATAGGAAAAGGAGTTGTAGTGAAGAGTGATAGTTTGCTGAGAGCTGGAATTTTCAAAGAATGAGGGGGAGTGGCACAGACTAGAATTGGCTTTGAAGAGGAATAATGGGTGATTAAAAACTAGGAGTTTTTATGGAAGAGGAGGGGTAAAAATCTGGCATTAGGGGCCTATTATACTCCAAGGAGAGTGCCATTACCTCACTCTAACCTGATGAATTCATCTTCTCCGTGTTTGTTACCCTACACATAGCTCTACTTTTTATAATTATGTCCTTGTCTATCTTGCCTACTAAATTCTGAGCTTCTTAAATATACAGTGTGTGTATTCTGCCTCTTTTTTTTTTTTTGAGTTGGAGCCTTACTCTGTTGCCCAGACTGGAGTGCAGTGGCCGCTCCTGGCCACCGCAGCCTCGACCTGCTGGGCTCTGGTGATCCTTCCGCCTCAGCCTTCCAAGCAGCTGGAACTACAAGCGCGCGCTACCATGCCTGGCTAATTTTTGATTTTTATTGTGGAGTTGAGGTCTCGCCAAGTATTCTGCAAGTTGATGGTGACTTAGTGGCTACAACACTTGCCTGGTACGTTGTATCCTCAATAATATAAAATAGTGAATGCATGGATAAATAAAAGAATATAAACATGCAGTCACAGATATTTTATGCTGAATCTTTACGTCTGAATGATACTTGACCTTGCAGGAAAACCATTTAAAGAATTCCATCTAGGTAATTCATGATCTTTGTTGGTGATAAGACAAATACAGGCAAATTCTCTAGACAAGATTAGTTTACAGTTGTAAAGCAAATCTGCCTATCTTCAATTGATATAGGTTTTTTTAAAACTGGTTATTATTAAATGTTATTTCCATTTAAATTTCAATCAGTTATTCATCAAAACTTTCTATAATTACCTCTGCATTACTCAGCTTAAAATGTTACATTTTAAAGACAGATCTATACAACACTCACTGTATGAGAATGAAAATAATGAAGATGGTTTACTTCTCTTTTTCATATATTTCTGATTTGAATCCACTGTCTATAGTATGTGGGTCCCATCTCTAAAAACTGAGTTTATTCTATACATATTTTAAATATGTGGACTAGTTTTGCTCCAAATGATTTCAGTTAAACATTCAATTAAAATATATAAACTGAAAATATTTACTTGTGTCGGCTACCTTAGTTTCTTCAGCTTCTCCCAATAAGAGCATCGGTTGCTATAGGCCTTGTTTGTGGGGTGGGGAGGTGGGGACGGCATAGGGAGAATATGTAAGATGTTCCCTTAGTCTAAATCGCTGTTATATTTAAGGATAGAAGGGGTTGTTTCGTATCATATTAAATAGTTCTGTGTAGTTATCTTCAGTTGGTATTTCATGGTATTTTCTGAGAACCCAAAGCAAGGCTATATAATGGCGAACGATGCAATACTAAAGCATTTAAAATACATTTGATAACGAAACGTCAACAAACCAACTTACCACGTGGTTTTTACTTAAATGGAAAGGCTTTTTTTTTTTCATGGATGAATGGATTGATAAAATGAGATACAAAATGCTAGAATATACTATGCCATAAGAAACAAGAGTTTAAGTGGGGACCAAAGCGAGGCCCAAACTTTACCTACAAATGACCATTTGTATACCTTAACCCAGAATTGTACCCCACATCTTTAAAAAAAAAAAAAAAAAGAAACGAGATTTTTTGATTTTTTTTTGTATGTGGCCTATCATAACATACGCTTTTCAACAACTCTATGAATCCCAAACATAACTAACCAATACCACTGTTGAGTCACTGTTTTTATCAGTATTGCCTAAGAGATAATGACTGAATGAGATAAAAATTCATCTTATGTTGCTAACTGTGCTGCTTTAAAAGATAATTTTATATGTATTTTATAGTCATCTCAGAGAATCATAAAAATTTAGACTCAATATGAGATAGTCTCATTTTATATAAAACCTGCAGTAAGAATATCAGGAAAAAATATTTTAAAAAACCTGAGGGTAAACATTCAATACATCTTAATGCATATAAATGTTTATTTTAATAATTTTAAAGCAGTGATACATTTTTCTGTCCTATTCCTAGCACACAAATAATGAATCACTAGAAAATGCTTGGCTAATGTTTTGATTTTAAAAAAAACTAAGCCAGGCTTGGTGGCTCAGCCTGTAATCCTGCGCCTTTGGGAGGCTGAGTTGAGTGGATTGCCTGAGCCCGCGGGTTCAAGACCTGCCTGGGCAGCGAGACCTCATCTCTATAATAAATTAAAAAATCAGCTGGGCATGGTAGCACATGCCTGTAATTCCGGCTACTCGGAAGGCTGAGGCGGAAGGATCGCCGGAGCCCAGCAGGTGAGGCTGCGGTGGCCGGGAGCGGCCACTGCACTCCAGTCTGGGCAACCGAGTGAGACTCCAACTCAAAAAAAAAAAAAAACTAATCAAAAAGTGCTTTAAAGAGTCTTTTGGATCCCATCTTTCCCATAATGACTCACCTTAGTCCTTGCCAGCAAAGGAGCACCCCTTTCCAACAGAAGTTCCACCACTTGGTCATGCCCACTTCGTGCAGCACAGTGAAGCGGTGTCAACCCATCCTGCCAAAATAATTAAAGAATTAGCCCAAGTTCACTTAAAAAAAAAACCTCAAAATCCAGATACATCTATCACAACCAAAAAGAAGGAGTTTCTTGAACTAAACCCCAATGACTCAATAGATCAGTTATAAAACTATTGGGGTTTAGTTCAATTAGTTAAACGACAGAAAAGACGACAAGTAAAATAGAAAAGAAATCAAAAACATCTTGACAGAGAGCAAGAAGGAGAAAGAGAAAGACAAAGCTGAGTCAGAGAGAGAGAGAGATCCCACGTGGGGAGGTCGCTGGTGTGAAATTAGCTTCTGGTCATGTGTTTGCATATTCAAGAAGATGGAAAGACAGACTACATGGCACTTGAACTTCAAAGCCCTACTCACTGGAATTGCAACCAGGGATTATATTAGATTATACTGTTTTCATTTTGGTTGTCCTAACACAATTTAACCTAAACATTTTTCTTAGTTTTAATTTTTCCATACATGTTCTCTCTTGAAATGACACTACTTTAATAATTCTTCTAAGATGCTCCCTGATTCTTATAAAAAAGGCCATTTTTAAAGATGATTTTAATGATTTCTATACATATACTTCAGTACTTTACAAATTGCATAATTACTTCCCAAAGATGAAATTTATTACTAATAAATAGAATTATAGCTGTGTCAAATAAGACATGACACAGCTATCCATTAGGTTATTTATAAAACTTTCTGACTTCAGAAAGTAGCTTCTGATTCCAGAGCAATCTCCAAATGCCCTCTGTCTTTTACATTTTATTTTCTTTTAGGGTGGCTTGGCCATAAAGTGGTATGGGTGAGAAATGCAAGGTAAATGTAAGTAACAACGGGCAAGAAGCGAAAGAGAAAATGAAATTCCAAGTACAAGAATTAACTGACAAATTGAGGCTTAAGGAAAATAAGTAAATAAATAAGGCCTTCCCAACCGAGAAAAGAGGTGGAGAAGGTGGGTAGCAATCAGAGAAAATGAAGGCCAGAGAGCACTAAGAGGATTTCAGGAGCTTTTGATTTATCCAGAACTGACGGCCTATTTTTTGTTTCTCTGTTTCCAAGACTATCTCTCCAGGTAATGCTTTACTTCAAATAAAAACAATGTCCTTGAATTACAATACTCTTTCTGGTCCAGTGCGTTGGGATTTCTAACGTTGGTATCTTTGCCTCTGTAGATCCGGTCTCCAGCCACCTCCTCTCCAGTCTCCGTCCACCTCCTCTCTGCTCTGTGTCCGATAGACTGGCAGCTCTAGGGGCCAATAGTGGTCTGCCTTGCCCTCAGGCTTCTGGTTGGGTTTGGCCAATGGGAAACACAGCAAGACGTGAAAGGGACTCTGCGGGATCTCCTAAATCTGGCTGTGTCTCTTTACCAAAGGTCATGCTCCTGCCAAAGCTGCCCTTCCACACAAGTCTCTGCTATGAAGTTTTGGGTGCTTCTCCTACTTCTTACTGCTCATGTCTAGGGTTGGTAAGGAGCTCTGTTGGTACCAGACCCTGGGATATTGCACTATTCATTTTACCTCCCCTACAGTCTACACACAATGTTATAAGTAGATCCTCTGTTTTTAGCTAGGATCTTGACTGATAAAGATTCTTGACTTTGTTAAATCTATTTAACTAGTATTAAGATACCGAATTTCAAAACAGACTTTGCAGCTTTGCGCATCTGAGAATTAGCAGGAAAACACTGCCTTTCCAGAAAACAAGTATTTAACTACTGTCATTGGGATACCACATTATTTTAAAGTTTGTCAGATAGGGGCCGGGCATGGTGGCTCCTGCCTGTAATCACACTTTGGAAGGTCAAAGTGGGAGGAGTGCTTGAGCCCAGGAGTTCAAGATCAGCCTGGACAACATAGCAAGACCCTGGCTCTACAAAAAAAAAAAATCAAAATATTAGCTGCATATAGTGGCATGAGCCTGTAGTTCCAGCTACTAAAGTGAAAGGATCTCCTGAGCTCAGGAGGCTGAGTCTGCAGTGAGCTTTGAGGATGCCACTGCCTTCTGTCCAGGTGACAGAGCAGGACCCTGTCTCAAAATAAAAAATAAAAAATAAAGTTTGTCAGATAGAAGCCTAAAAAATAAATTGTGCTGGCAAAGTGATTCTATTGCTTCCATTTTTGTATTTTGATAAAAATACCCTGTGGTAGAACTACAGTACATTAATTATACAACAATTATGTAGAGAATTACTTCTCAAACATATTCTTGGTGGGGCTTTGTTGACATCTAGTGTTTGAGAAATCCCACATCGTGAATGGAGGAATCATAGGCAAGAGTTCAGGTTCATGATACATGAAAAGGGGATGATTTTTCTTACCCTACTTAACTTACAGCCTTGTTTGAAAGATGAGGGAAGGGGATGCTTCCTTTCATCAATTTTTAGAAAAGGTAAAGCATTATTTTCTATGAATTACATGAAATAGCCCTTGTGTAATCATGTTGAAACCTCCAGAATATTCTCAGAGTAACAATAGAAACTTTATAGACAACACTTAATATACCCACAAGAACATCAAGGATTAAATCAGTCCTAAATCTTACATTTAATGATTAGAAATATCTGACCTTATAAAAGATATGTGAATGATGACATCAAATTCAAGTTACCCAACAGGCTCAATCTGACTAGATTTTGAATATTTTCTACAAAGTATAGCACCAAGTTAATGCCAAGTATATATATAATTAAAGTTTTGTATTCCAGGAACTTTTTATTAAATTCTTAAGCCTATGTTTGAAGGTTTTATTTTTTCTCCTCCAGAGATGCTTCCTTGTGTTTTTTCTCTCTTTTCTTTTTACAAGAATCAGGTCATCCACACTGAGATGCCATTCACTATGATGTGAACAACTCTGAAAAGAGAAGATCAAGTAACATTAGAGGGATACCATTTATCTAGCTGGCAGCCTCTTTTCCTTCCTCCTTTCCTCCCTCCCTCCCTTCCTTTCTTCCTTCCGTCCTTCCTCTCCCCTCCTTCTCTCTTGCCTTCATTCCTTCCCTCCATCTCCCCCTCTCTCCCTCTCTTTCTTTTCTTTTTCTTTCTCTCTCTCTCTTTCTTTCTCTCTCTCTCTCTCTCTCTCTCTCTCTCTCTCTCTCTCTGTTTTCTTTCTTTCTCTCTCTCTCTCTTTTTCTTCCTTCCTTCCTTCCTTCCTTTCGAGTTGGGATCCCACTCTGTTGTCCAGGCTGGAGTGCGGTGGCATGATCACAATGATCACAGCCCACAGCAGCCTCAACCTCCTGGGCTCAGGTATCCTACCACCTCAGCATCCCAAATAGCTGGAACTATAGGCACGTACCACTAAAGCCAGCTATATATATATTTTTTTGTTGTTGGAGTCTCACTCTGTCACCTAGGCTGGAGTGCAGTGGCAAGCTCACAGCCACTCAGCCTCAACCTGCTGGGCTCAGGCGATCCTCCTGCCTCAGCCTTCCAAGTAGCTGGAACCACAGGTGCAAGCCACTGCACCCAGCTAATTTTTTTTTATTTATTGTAGAGATGAGGTATAGCCAAGTTGCAGAGGCTAGTTTCGAACCTGTTTGATTTTTTGTTGTTGTTTTGTTTGTAGAGATGAGGTTTCACTAAGCTGGTCAGGCTGGTCTCAAACTCCAAAAGTGCTTGGATTACAGGCATGAGCCACCGCACCAGGTGCCATTTTTTTTTTTTTTTTTTAAGTTTTCCTTTCCTCCCACTCTGCTTAGGTTGTTCTTCCAGCAATGTAACCTGATGTCTGTTTATTAGCGTAGGCTCTCCTAAGTACCACGTTCTGTCCTAGGTCAAGTTACAGGACTCTGCTGAAACTCATTTTTCCCTTTGGTAGTCTCATTTCTTAAATGAAGACTTCTATATTTTCTTAGCAAGAAAATTACATATACTTCATATATTGTTAGAAAGATGAAATAAGATGGTATTTGTAGAGAACTTAGCAGGGAGCCCAGAGCACCATATACATATGACATCTGGTAGCCATTATTGTTACTACTTTAATTATTACATCTAATAACAAGTGGCAAGGGTGGTCGCTTTTCCTCATTGTTGTTTTTTGTTCATCATCCTTTAATGTTTTTGTATACTTTTATTGTTTGCATTGAAATATGTATTTTAATATTTTAAACATAATCTTTATATGGGGTATCTCCATATTTAATAATAAATAAGCTTTAAAACCCAAAAGAATAATGCCCTTAATAAAACCTAACTTGATAATTTCATTTTAACTAGCTATAACATTTATGGTTTAACATTAAAATGAAGTTTTTCAGATACCAGCAAAGGGCTCTGGTGCAAATGTCTCAGAGTTTCATACCAGACAATGATGAGGATGTCAACAACATGTAAATTGTCCCAATGATCACCAAAATGGTGGTGTCAGTTGGGGAGAAACTGTGGGTAAGATTTGTTTTTAATTACCTGAAAGCCTCTACAGACATTGCTTTTCTCTAGATAATAGAAACTTCATAAATGAGAAAAATTATGAGAAGATCAAGGGAAATTTCTTGACAGAATATTCTGAATTAAGAATGTTTGTGGTTAATTTGATTAGTAGGAGAAACTGAGACCTCCGACAAAAAATAAAAGTATAATCCTCATTTTTAAAAATTCCATATATAGAATCTCTATTATATTATCTGAAAAGATGGTCAAAAACAAAGTGAGGGCTTTTCTATTTTTAAATATATTTTCAAAAAGCAAAGGAAAAAGCAGGCCCACATTCTTTATTTTAGTAATCAAATATTATAGTTACAAAATTGGCCTCCCAATTCCATACTACAGTTTTTGATTTCAGTATTTACCACCTGATTGATTTTGCCTTCGGTAGAAGGAATGAAGCTCTTTTAGCTAAATAGCCAGAATTAAAAGAACCTAACAACGCTTTTAAAATTCTCCTATTTATGGATGAGAAAGTATTTTAACTTATAGGGGAGAAATCTCAGTGCTACCACTTAATATCCTACCTAATCCTAGGGTGTGCTGGAGCCTGCTCTTGTGAACTAGAGAGAGCCATTTTTTGTACATGTCTTCCTAATTCTGCATTTAGTGATACCATGTTGCTAGCTCTGAATCAACCATGGTGGAAGTATTAATACCATGAAAATCAGCAAGAAAAAAACAACAAATCAAGGGGGTTTTTGGGGGGAAAGCCTATTGTTCATCTTTTACCAGCACAGTGCTAACTTAATCCTGTGGGTACTGTAGACTTGCATCTCTGTCGAGAGACATAGTCTGTCTTGTTAACTGTTGTATCTTAAGGGTTCCTGGTACCAAATAGGAACTCAATAACTATTTGTTTAAGGAATGAGTAAACATCAAGTCCATACAATGTACACAAATCTACTTTTTCTCTTTAAATCCTTGAATAAAATTCATTTAATCTTCTACCTAAAGCTACACTGTATGAAATATGACCCAAATATTCCCTTCACCAAGAAAAAAACCAAGGCTTACATTTGACTACTAACTTGCTCAAGGACAATTTGTTAACGACAGAGCTAGTATAAGAATCCGTTTCTACTTTTCAGTATTCTGTCTGTGAAAATACACTGCCTACTTGGAGATAGACTTTTCAATTATATTTGCAAAAATATGTGAAGCATGCAAATTAGAGTATCTTTTAAAGAACTAAGTAAATATTGTGATGATTAATAAGAACAAAATTAACTGCCTCAATAATGAATAAATACTCAAAAAAGCATTAATAAAAGTAATGTAAGTCTCTAAGACATTGGCCAAGATAAAATTTTTTTTGCATTTACAAAGTGCTTTCTTTTATTTGGTAATCTCAATTATTAGGGTCTTGATAGAGGGAAAAAAAGCAGTATAAAGGGAGGAATTATGTTAGTAAAGTATACTAATCGTGTAACATTATGTTAGTAGTGTTAGCAATGATGGCAATGTGCACAAATTCTTTCCTTTAACTATAAAGAGCAAGTAAGCAAAGCAGGCAGTGTAGTGCACACTGTTCCAAATTCTGCATATCCACAGCGTAGTAAGGGAAAAGGCACGCCTACAAAGCAAAGGGCAGAAATCATATAAAACTCTGATGTAAAGACACTGGACATCACAACAAAGATCTTGGCAGATTGAACAAACCACTCCAGAATTCCCTAAAGACAGGACATAGCCACACTGGACCAAATGTTTTAGAGAAGTGAGATTAAGAAAGAAAGGTTTCCCGAGGCCATAAAAACCCAGAATTTATAGTCTGGGATTGGAATTGATTCTAGAAGCTTAAAGATGATAAGGTTTATTAAACAAAAGTGTTTGCTAGCCTCAAGATTTGCAAAGAAACTGAATTTGATCCTTATTGTTTGGACTATGAGAATGTGAAGTCCCAGAATTACACAAAATGAAGATAAAATGCAACAAGGGCCATATTTTGTCTACCATCTTTTATAAACGTTTTATGTTACATATTTAAACATCTTTATATAACAGGGATGATTGAAGTTTTGTTAAGTTTGTGATTAGCCAAATCTGCTTCAGAGAACTAATACTAAAGTATTATTTGTGTTTAAGCAACATACATACTGTATAATATCAGTAATATTACAAAAAATTATAAATGGCTAAATAATTCACCCACTCTACTTTTTTAAAAAAAGATAAATAATATAAAGAGTTATTTCGCACACAACCTTGTGAAGTAGGTTCTATTATGAGCGTTAAGTTCAGAGAAGGTAAGTAAACTGCCAACATCATATAGCTTAGTAAATGGTAGAAGCAGGATTTTAAATCAGGCAGTGTGCCTTCAGAATCTGCTCTTCCTGCAACTACACTCTGCTGCCTATCTTATTATCAATCTATGAGGTGCGCATTAAAACTCAAAATGATACTTACTAGATTTCAAATGATTGAAGGACACCACTTCTACTAAGATGATGTAAGTAAAGGTATGATAAAAAGCATACTAACTGTATGCTTTTCTTCCATAAGCATAATAGCGAGCTTCCTGCTGAGGTCAGGATAGCATAACCACTTACAAAAAGTGAATTAGGAATTGAACAGTTAAACACAAAAGATTTTCAACCGGTATTAAAATGTTTTATGTAAAAACCGCACTCTCAAGTTTCATGTATGCTGATCACTTTGGGTTTTAGATATTATAATTACCCGAAAGAGAGATGTGGAAGTTCAGTCGTTGATCTTTGTTTTCAGAAAATCAATAAGCAAAAACCTGAAAAACTGTCTCATTGAGAGCCCAACATTCTGTTTCTCTGGGCATTTATGAGCAAATATTAATTTTACTTTATAATGTGAACCCTTTAAATATTGTATGAGATTTAAATCAAATCCAAGAAAGCAATTTCCTTGAAAACACATTGCCTCTGTTTGTGGACTCATATTTTAAGGTGTCTGCTAAGAGGATTGAAAGAAATAATAATGGTAGGAAATTGAAAGAACAGAGACACTCACCCTAGTTTTGGCATCGATCTGACCACCTCGATCCAGTAAGAGCTTCACCATGTTTGTGTTTCCCCTTTTGGAAGCCACATGCAGAGGAGTGATTCCATTCTATACCATAGGAAGAGCAAACAAGAGGGTTTGAGTGTGATAGGGTGTGATGGTGATGACTTTGGGTTAAAAGGCACAAGGGAGATTGTGACCTATGTGGTCAAGGTTTCTATCATTTCAATGTCTTCAATTTTTAAGGAACAAAGAAGCACACAAACCACAAAGCACTATAGTTAGAGAATGAAAAATGAAATAAAACTGCCTAGCTAAGTTAGTCAATAACTAAGGTATATGTATCAAATGTACACATTACAGTCAAGAGACAAAGGGGGCACTTTTGCATAGTAGAACCACAAATTTAAATTCTACCTAAGATCGAGCCCTAGTGAAAAGTCTTTCCATAACAGTCATGTACTTAAAGAGTCTGGAATCTTAAACCTTCCTATGTTTAAAAATAGAAACAAATATACTCATCAATACACAGTGGAAAAATAATTCTTAAAAACATCTTTCAGAAATTCAATTAAAAAATAGCTTGAAAATAGTAGAACATAGTTTCAGTGCAGAAGACTTCTAAGGACAAAAACACTATGCATAAAAATTATATTTATTTTATTGACTATCATATGTCAGAATTATGATAAGAATATCTGAGTTTTTGTAAGTCATAATTTTTAATAATCAAATTTTGCATTAACTGACTCAAATTAAGGATACTGAATTACATAATTATCATGTAAGTGAATTCTTTCCAATAAAAGTATACACTTAAACATAAAGCAATGTGATAACTTTTAATGTATTTTAGTGAGACTTCATATGAGCAAATTATCGATTCAATAAAAACAATTCCCTATCAAAATGTGAGTCCTACAATCACTGTAAGATATGCTACTATATATTTTGTAATTAACTTTTAACAGTTTAATTATTTATTGACTTGAAGTTCATTCAAGATTCATGGCATAATCAGTAAATATAACTGTTCATACTGATGTCAGAATCAATGTCCTTCTTAACTACAGCAAATGATTAGTGCATGTGAATTTATAAAACTCTTATTTTCCACTTGGGTCGTGATGACTTCTTGAGATTTAAAGAAAACAGTGGAAAATCTAATATCTCCAGCCCAGGTCCAGGTAAGGAAAAATAAATGGTGTTTTACTTTCCTAAAATACTCATTTAATGTTATCTAGAAATGATTTTAACCCATACCCTGGCTGTGAAGTCTACAGCAGCTCCCCGATTCAGAAGAAGCGTTGCCACATTGACATTTCCATAGTGTGCGGCTATGTGCAAAGGGGTAAAACCACTCTATGGAAGACAAAGAAATAACAGTCAATTTAAAGTCTTCCACCCTTATATGTTACAGTAGTCACTGGATTAGTGAATAAAGTCACATGGTAACTATCTGATATATGAACAACAATAAATGCTTTAAAGTTTTTAATAAGACATTAATTCTTAGTGTTACAAAGTAGTAAATAGCTAAATACATAGAGAGGTAAATAAATATCCTACATTTATTGGCAACATTATTTTTAATTACCTTAACTATTTGTATATTTGTGAGATTTGTTGTTTTTACAAAACTGTTTCTTGAGTTGATTAAGCAAGAATTAACATAATTATGAATAAAAAATGTTTTTTTCTGAGAAGAATTCAAAACCAGTATTTTTGTTGTTGCTATTTTTAAAAACAGCATTGGTTGGCACTATATCTTTGGAACTATAAAAATATGTTGAAAAATTATTACGAAGTATATAGAATTCATTCCCTATCATTTGACTGTCATGATTATTTCTATCCTCTTTTGCAATAGTTTAATCAGACTATGTTGTTATGACAAAAGAATTTAAAAACAAAAATTAAACAATACATTTGGCATCAATATGAATATAAAATAAACAGTTCAGCTTATTCTAATTTTTAATGTTAAACCAAATTTTATCAATAAAATAAAATGTAATTCAATCAACCAGGTAAATCAATTATATGGGCATTAAAACTGTTTACTCTCAGAATGTTTAAAAAATAAGTCTGAAAATTTCAAATGAAGAAACTTATATTTCCTTTCCTTTCTTTCTGATAGCAATTTTGTTGGAAATGTTTGCCATTTTCACAATAGAAGTATATTAACTCTTCCTATACAATTACACAAAGATGTATTATCTGAATAATTGTTCTTACACTCCATAATTTCATTACTCAGTAAAATATTATAAAACAGAGACTACTGATTGGCTATCGTATCCTGCAGTTTTGAACCTACTTTGTATTGTTCTCGTTTAGTAAAAATGAACTAATGTGGACTGTATCATTCTTAAAAAATACTTTCTAAATCACAACCATTGTTTTTCTATTGACTTGATATAAACACTTTGGCGACTTTGTAAAAATGCTCTCAACAAGCATTCACATACTTTAATCACAATTTCTCTGTGCTATCATTAACATTGGTTGTAAATAATTTCTGACTTAGAAAAGTAAGATACAAAATAAGAATAGTAACTGACAATCCAAATCCTACAGCTGTCGTCAAGATATTTTTATTTGGCACCTATATCATGCCAGTATTCATGTCAAAGTGGAGGGGAAAATCAATCTACAAACTAGTTGCTATTTTAGAAAATGTCAAATTTTTATATTTTTAGGAAACAAACAATTGACTGAAGTTTTGTCTTTTTTTTTTTTTTTTTTTTTTTCGAGTTGTAGTCTCACTCCGTCGTCCAGACTGGAGGGCAATGGCCGCTCCCGGCCACCACAGCCTCGACCTGCTGGGCTCTGGCGATCCTTCCGCCTCAGCCTTCCAAGTAGCTGGAAATACAGGCACGCACTACCACGCCCAGCTAATTTTTTATTTATTTTAGAGATGAGTTATTGCCAAGTTGCCCTGGCAGGTTTCGAACCCGCAGGTTTAGGCAATCCACTCACCTCAGCCTCCCAAAGCGCGGGATTACAAGCTGAGCCACCAAGCCCGGCTAGTTTTGTCATTTTTAACTTGATGTTTCCTGTTACCCAGACATATCCTGAATGTGTATCTATTATTCAACTAACTATTTAGTTTCAGAAAAAATATTAACTGCCGATAAATCATTTTAAAATTATTTAAATGTAGTAACGTCATTTTTCTCATTTGCAAAAATCATTTATTGTTTGACACAGCCTCACTGACCCATCCAGGATGACTCCTCAAGCTGAAAATCTTTGATCAGCACTAGGTTGATATCAGTCCTTTCTGAGGGACCCCTTCTCCCCCACCTCCCACTTTAACGGAGAGAGAGGAGGCAGAGTTCCCCTTTTCTATAGGATTATCGATGGAGGGGGTTTTCTTCTTTCTACTCAATTGTCTTCAAATATGTGTATAAAATTCAGTACAATTCTACCCAATCTGCTGTTTTCACCACAATGTTAGAGCCAATATTGCTTTCAAAGATGCATCTTAAACAATCACCAAAAAAGCTCTAAGAAATAAAAGGTATTGAAATCAGTAATTAAGATATTGATTTGTATGGTTCTAGTCTTAAACAATTTCACCAAGCAGTTGGTTTTTTGTTTTGTTTTGTTTTTTGTCTCTAGGTTTGTTTGTTTGTTTTTTTCTCTGATTGGCTCCACGCACAGATATGGAACAAAAGAGAAAACACAAATAATTCAAGTATATTGATGTCCCAATAGGTAAATGAATGTGTTAATAAACCAGATAATAGTTTTAGAAATACATTACTCTCAGTAAATACTAGGTGAGAATGCTCAAAAGTTCACAACCCAGTGATCAAATGAGATCTTAGTCCAAAAAAATTCCCTCAGCAAAGTGAAACTCAATCTACATAAATAATCACTTGCCTTTGAGTATAAGTTAACTTTTAAAATGTACTATCAACAATGTTTGTTACTGTCTCTCTGTGGCAATGGTCAAGAAGGAGCTACTACAAACATACAAACACACACACACACACACACACACACACACACACACACACACACACACCCCATACTGAAAGACTTCTGAACTTAATGTTCTTATTGATTGATGTGACTTATTTTGGTATGTGGAAGATATATGATTCTGTGACAAGTATTTTAAGACTTACAGGAAAAAGCAACTACTTTGCTATTGATATGTGTGATATCATTATTGATTATATACAATGTGGTTACCGAAAAAAGGGCAACTGCAATTAGATAAAAAGACAAAACACAGTGGCAGAAAAGCCTTCTTAATTTTCACTTCCCAAGACTTTCAACCTGAGATATCTCATTAAGAAAATAATATCATATCTCTTTTTGGCAAAAGCTTAAGAGTAAAGCTCACTCATTAAAATATATATTAAGAAGTTTTCATTTCATGCTTTAATCTAACAAACTATTTAGCTTCACTGATAAAAATAGTGCTTCAAATGTATGTTGCATTAAATATTTCTGAATGATCGATTTGCCTTAATTATGGGAGAAATTTCCAAATGAATTTCCCATTAATAAAATTTCTAATAATTAGTATGAATTAGTGAGCATTTATTCCAATTATACAAAGGCTAAAAATAAATAAAGACAAGGTAAATTTTGGCATAACCACAATACTGTACCTCAGTTGTTCTATTCACCATCATCTGAAGCAGTGTTGTGTGGGAAAAAGAGGGAAGATATTACACAATATGAAATTAAGGCAATAGTCACTGTGCTCACTGCAACTGGGTATACTGTTCCAACATGCCAAAATGCATTCCCTGAAAAAAAAGACATCCCCAAACACTACACAATACAATTTTATCTTTCTAATTCTGTTTCTATTATTTAGGACTGTAAACAGAATAAAGAAGCTTTTTGCTAAAAAGCTAAACTTGCTCTTGTAAAGAAAATTATCTTGCACTTAATTTGCTTTGTTACTGTGCCCAATAGACAATCCCCTTCTTGCTGAAATACCTCTGAAAGTAATTTATCTCTTTTCATGACCAGAAGTAATTCTGCATTATCACCATTGTCTACTCCTGGATCATCCCCTAGGAATCTGGCAGCCGGAGAGTTCCTTTTCACCGATGTGTTCTGCTTTTACCTTAGATTGTACGTCAGCATTGTGATCGTTCTGGAGCAAGAGTGCAGCAGATTTGGTGTCATCTTTCCTAGCTGCAATATGCAGGGCCGGCAGCCTCACTTTCCCTTTGGTGTCGTTCTCCAAGAGGATCGCCACAGCCTGGTTGTGTCCTTGCTGGAGTGCTACAGCTAGAGGGGTAAAGCCATCCTGGTAAAATAGAAAAAAAGAGTCTTTCATTCATTTTTGGATGCTTGGGATTCAACTCTAAGCAATGGTGCCTCTGATTTTTAAATCAGTGATTGAGACTGACAAGCAAAGAATAAAATACTACTGTGAAGATCAGAAGCAGATTATAACCAGTCATTTGCCGTACTGTGGGTTAGTTTAATCAAATTGCTTACCTGATTTCAATTCTAAACATTTTGAAAAACATCCTCATTCCCTAACAAAGCATACAGATATGCGGGAAGTGCTAAAATGCATGTTTACAACTGGAAAATAACAGTGAGAACCAACCCGAAGTAATGCCTGCTTATATAAAGCAGAAGAGTGGGAAGAACAGAAAAAATGAAGACCAAGTCTGACTGGGATCCAAAAGCATGGTAATCAGACTATGCAAGTTAATAAACATCTCTGAATTGGTTAGGAAAACTGATAGCCACTGAGGATGAAATGGTCTATTGCTAATTCAATTTTGGAAGTTTGGTAAATAATATGATTTAAAACTCTTTGGCAAATTAGGCTAGTTTATTAATTTTGCTTTTAATAGTCAAATTTTTATTATTTAGATATAAAGTTAGTGTGCTAGGTAATGTCAAAAAATCAGCTTTTAAATTCTAAACTTAAAGAGAGAGCGCTTAAAAACACTGCATAGATAATGCAAAGTTGGAGGAATCGTAGGAGTAGATAGCCATGCTAGGAAACTTGGAAACCATATTTTTTTCTCCAGAAACAAGGATTCAGTTTTTAGAAAGGTGACAAATACATATAAAATATATATATTCTGGACTCTACCCATGTACCACCAACAACAAAAAACCTTAATCCACAAAAGTTTGAAAATAAGTGTCAGAGTTAGAAGTTTCTATTCACAGAGAGAAGAGGACAATATATGGTAGATTTAAAGACTGCATTCTGGAGACAATGGTGATTTCCCACAATCTACCTACTCATTTTTTTTCAATAATAATTTGTAAAAAGATAACTGCAAACTTTTTGAGGCTTTAATTCAGGTACATTGTATCAAATAGTGCCAACAACAATCAGAATTGCATTTTATTTTCTAATAAGAACTGAATTTCAAATATAACACATTTCTTAACAGAATGAAAGAGTAAAGCATGTAGCATCTTAAGGTGAAAAACAGCGTGAATTTAGAACTTTGGCACAAATTAAATGCTCTGTGAACAAGAAATGCATAGACTCATTATATACATATTTAAATATTACCTGCTGCAGCACTGTCATAGTTTATATTAAAAGAATATGAACTTAATTTTTGTCTTTGAAATGAAATATTTACCCACAAAATAGAACCTCATTAAAAAGTTTTTAGCCTTCAATTTTGGTAACATTTAAGAAGGAAGAGAGGAGAGAAATATTGTATAAAAATGGTACTGGAGGGACAGAGAACTCCCTTTAGGACAGTGGTCCCCAGCCTTTTTTGGCATCAGGGACTGGTTTTGTGGAAGGCAATTGTTCCATGGGTGAGGGTAGGGAGATCACTAGACAAGATTTTCATAAGGAGCATGTAACCTAGATCCCTCTTATGTGCAGTTCACAATAGTGTTACATGTTCCTGTGAAAACCTAATGCTGCCACTGATCCGATAGAAGACAGAGATCCACTCACCAGCCACTCACCTACAGCTGTACAGCCCAGATCCTAACAGGCCTGGGGTTTGGGGACCCCTGCCTTAAAGAATGTAAACTTGAACCTCTACCACATGGATTTCATTCTAATCTATCCTTCAAGGGAGAAGGCTAAATACCTGGAATGATTTGTTCAGGTACCTCAGCTAGCTCTATGAAAAGGAAATCCAAATTAAAGTTCAGTAACTTCGTTTTTATCATTCATTTAACAAATGCTAATTGCTGTAATCATAGGAAATTTTACCTTAAATATTTTTCTTTAAAACATGAGTTTCTAAAAAATACTGATTAATGAAAAAAAAAAAAACATGAGTTTCATTGCCATATTGAATAATCTCACAATTATCCAAGTTTTAAAGTGGTCATAATGTCTTCATTAATAATTAATTTTTGCAAATTAGAGCTAACAACCAGTTCAGGATAGGTGCCTTTTTTTTTTTTTTTAAGTTTTCAAATAAAGTTTATTAGAGAAAGGAGAGAGATAAGACAGGGTGCCGTGCCAGAGCTAGCAAGGGCAAAAGAAACCAAAGTGACTTCACACGTGAATATGAAATTGTAGAAGGTATTACTGATACAACGCAGATAGGGTATCAAATGGCAAGCAACAATATAGCCCTGAAAAACATTATTTTATAACAGAATGATACTCTAAATGGGAACATGTAAAGGTTTATCCATATATGTATTTCTTGATGACCATTAGGATGGCAGTGAGGGTTTAATCAAGTAAGTTTATATATATATATATATATATATATTTATATGTATATGTGTATATATTTATATGTATATGTGTATATATATATATACATATACATACATACATACATACATATATATGTATAAATATAGAAAACCATGAAAAATTAATTTGTTATTTAAGTAATTTTTTAATGAAACAAATAATGGATATATAATATCTAAGCTAGTATTTAAAACCCCACATGATTCATTTTCAAAAGCCACATTTCTGTGTGAAAATCAGAGAGGTTTTAAATTTTCTGAAGATCACAGTATAACATGGCCTCTATCAATGCAACATACATAAAGGGGTATTTTTGGAACCAGACAGAAACGCTATAGCGGTCTAGACTGAAGGAGCCAGAAGCTGAGAGACAGCTGGGAATGCCAGTGAGCTGAGTTTTCCTAAATCACACACTAGAAACATTAAGTCTATTTGGTGAGTAGAAGAACTTTAGTGTAAAGCATAATCTGATAAATGGTCCTGCCTTCAAGAACACAAAATAAAACAATATAGAATCTTATTTTGTTATATTTCTCAGAGGTCCTCATGCAAAGATACAATCTCATATTGTTACCCAAGCTTTGCCTAAAGATATCCACATGCTACTCATTAGTGCCTCAGGAAAAAAAGGCCCCGGTCATAAAAATCACACTGTACCCATGTGGCAAGAGTGTAAAATCTGTGTGTGTTGAATAGAAAACTTGAAATCATTTCATACTGAGCAGTTGCATTTTCCAGTCATAAGCAGGAAACATGGTTTCATTAATAATGATTTCTTGGAATTTTTGTTAACTAATGAGAATAGGCTGTCAGAAAGTTACTGCAATTGGCTCCATTAAAAAGTGTTCTCCCAAAGGGACTAGAAAAGGATTTAATAGATTTTAATGACCTCTTCTTCCAGTGCCACATAGAAGAGAGTTCATGTTTATTTCACTTAAAGACTTAATTGTCCAGAGGGAAGTCATATTAGACATTACAAATGATCAAAATGGCTTCTGGGTTACAAGCATCTAACAGTCATGCTTTACCTCAGGCCAGGGATTTAAAAAATTTACCAGTGGAGCCACAAAATATGAAAAGGAAAAACAAAGTCTGCATACTCTGATTGAAAGAGATGAGGAAGAATATGTCTCAGTGGAGCTCTGCTCCTCCCCTCTCCAGTGTCACCCACTCCCAGTTTTCCAGCGGCCCCCCGAGGCATTTCCTCCAAGTTCACAGCTTCTGGAATGTCATTTAAGAATCACTATTCTGGATATTATTGGACTTGCTCCTTAATCTGCCTAATCAAAAACGAGAAGTACAATACAAAGCAAGTTCTTACTAGGAGGACATGCTTAGGAAAAAAAAGTGATGTTCTCAGGGTCCCTGCCCACACAATTCTTATGTTCAGATGTCCTGAACTCTTCAAAACTAGATTGATTTTGAACGTTCTATTCAGTCATTGCCATAATTAGTCACACAATCATGTATGCTTCAATATATGTGGCTTTTTTAGCATATTTATACGCCTTGAGAAATTGTGCTAACACAAATATTTATGAATTATTTATAGGCAAAAGTTGTTCCTATAAGGAATGGTATTGGATATTAATAAAGACAAAATATTGATGAAATGAGAAGGGTAGAATTTACCGTAATCTAATTTTAGGATGGTATAAAGCTCCCAAAATCTAGAATATGGCAAATTGATGGAAGCATGGTTTCATGTAAGAATAAATTGGTATGAATTTGAAATGAAGGCATAAACATACGGAACTGTGGCACAAGCCTGAGTCATCTGCAGCCACTGTTGTAGATTGAAATCGTCACCTGAACATTCCTAACTTAGATAAAGTAATGGAGACCCTTTGTGGTCTGATATAAAAATATGGACATTAAAGAAAAAAACCCACAAAACTTGAGACTCAAAATTGACCCAAAGATTGACGGTCTTACCTCTGTAGCAGTGCTCTGATTAGCTCCATTTTCAAGCAAATATTTTACAACATCAGTGTGGTTTTCTTGGGCAGCCATGTATAAAGGAGTAAAGCCATTCTGGGGACAAACAATAAAAAAATACATCTTCAGTCATTTGTAAAAATTTAAACCAGGAAATTTTGTGTTGTACAAGTAGAAAGATCGCTATGAAGTAAACCTTTGAAACGGTGACTCTATATAACATACCTTTATATTAAAGAAATGACACATATATTTACCATTGTAAAACTAGACAAAATTGCAGTGAATCAAGTCCCACACACAACTCCTAAAGGAATGAGAAGAAAGTTTTCCTCATATTCTGTCTTCATTTTAGGACCAGAGATTCATCTTTCTCATCACCTAACACTGTGTTAAACTAAATATATCTTAATATCTTCAGTATGTTTGGTATCTCAATATCTATATAATTCTATAATATATAGAATTCTTACTATATATAGCATCTCTATAAAATAATATCTATATAATATCTTCTGTATTTATCAATTTGTAAACTAAACAGATCATGGTTGTCTTGAATATACACAGTTTATCTAACACCCTTGGTGGTATAAATTATTACTCATAGCAGAATGGGCTAGGAGAGAGGCAGTTTGATTAAGACTTTGAAATTCTGTATTTCAACGTTTGGGTTGAGAGGGCATGATTTATATTGGACATCTTTATATTATTTTTTAAGCCATTTTGAAGCCATGTAATTAATTCTCACATTTATTTATTCAGTGATTTAGTAAAATCCAGCCACTGGTAGCTGGACTATCATTGAGATACACTAATAAATCAGACAGACACATGCACTCTCACGGAGTACACACTGCGATAATATAACATTATGTAGTCAGAGATTTTAAAAATCACTGAAATTGCATCACATGAGTTTAAAATTAAATTTAGATTGGCAAATTTTATTTTCATTAGATACTTATGTATACCTCATTAAGGGGGAAAAACCCCACAAACCTTATTTAAAAAAGAAAACCTGTGAAATAATTCATCAAGTCTCAAAACTGTCAGTCTTAACCATACATGATTTCCCTAATCTTTCCATACATTCATGAGAATAAGTAAAAACACAGATGAGTGTTCAGAGATTTTTTTAAAAACAGAGATTTTTTAAAAAACATAAAAAAGAAAAACAGTTTAAAAATTCTTTTTTGAAATGAAATTCTTTTATAAACACTGTGTAAGTGTGGAATTATTTTTCAAAATGGCTAAGAGCCAGCAAAATACCAACACAGAATGTACAAGCAGAGCAAGTAAAGTACTTTCAAATCACATTATAAAAGAAAATCTACAGGCTTCAAATGGTGGAGGAAAATTTAGAACTAAAAAAAAACTGTAGAAGGGGAATGAATTAACAATGTTGTAGGATTCAGGAATAACTTGCTAACTGGATAGCATATTTAAAAAAAAATACACCAAGCAGGTGAAATCTTGTGTATTTTAAGAACACTGAAGAGGTGGCGGAAGGAGAGAATTAGAGATTCAAAGGAAGGGAAAGCCAGTGAGGTTGGTTAAAAACAGTGAGTGGGTGTGGAAAGTGGCTCTTTCATGACAAGTAGAAGGCAAGGGATGAAAATAAGAGAAAAGGAGCTTTTAACAGAGTAAAACAATTTGCTAACATGCTTTTCCCTGAAGGACTCTTGCTGGGTCTGGGAAAGAAATAGAGGTGGCCAGATCAGCAGGGAAAGGATAAATACCATCCTTAGGTCCCTGCTTCAGAAGGGTCCCACGCTGGGTCCTGAGGTTTAGAGGGATCTTCTCCGGCTGATCAGGGAATCCTGAAGGCCAAGGGGACATGCCCACTATGAACCCATAGCTCCCTGATTTCAAGACTATGTACCAGGCACTGGGCTACCCAGATTCCCTGCCTAAGTGTTCCCAAATACAGTTCCAGTGCTCATTCACACTTCTCCTTTGGATTCATCCTCTCAAGTGTCCACTGGTATGCACACCCTTTGAAAGACTGAACAATGGCCCCACAGAGTCCACATCCTAACCTCTGGAAGCTGTAACTATTATCTCATTCAGCAAAAGGAACTTCGTAGATATGATTAAGTTAAAGAACTTGAGATGGGATATGATCCTGGATTAGCCAAGTCGGCTCTATGTAAACACAAGAGGGAGTCAGAAGTCAAAGAGAAGAGACATGCTATGCTACTGGCTTTAGAGATGGAGAAAGGGTTCATGATCCAAGAATGTAGCTCTAGAAGCTGGAAAAGGCAAGGAACAGAATTCTCATCTACAGCCTTCAGAAGGAAACCACAATACAATACCTTGGTTTTAACCCTGTAAAACTAATTTCCCAAACTATAAGAGAATAAATGTGTTTTCTTTAAGCACGGTTTTGTAGTAATTAGTTACAGTAGGAACAGGAATATAATGGCACACCCTTCAAGTTGTCTGCTAGGGAGGGTAGAAGCAGGAGACAGACAGAGCTTGGACATGTGCAGGTTGGGGTGTCCACACCCTTACATGAGATGCTCTTGGGGTGTGGGTGGAGCCAGGAATAGGAAGAGAATTGGAGTGGCTTCAAGCCCCCAGGACTGGTGCTCACCTCACCACAGTCCTGTAAGGAACTCCAAGGATTCCAAGAAGTCTACATTTGGATCTATCATGAAATATTTCTCAAGATAGGAGATACTTGTTAGCTTGAAATATAGCTCCTAATTTTAAAAAATATATTTTAAGTGGGCCTCTCTTGCTTTCTTTATCCTGGGACCTGCAAGTGTTGAAGGGAAAAAGGGGAAGAAATAGCAAGGCTTATTAAAAAATCTCGAGGGGAGCCGGGCTCGGTGGCTCAGCCTGTAATCCCATGCCTTTGGGAGGCTGAGGTGAGTGGATTGCCTGAGCCCGCGGGTTCGAGACCCGCCTGGGCAGCAAGACCTCATTAATACAATAAATCAAAAAATCAGTCGGGCGTGGTAGCGCATGCCTGTAATTCCGGCTACTTGGAAGGCTGAGGCGGAAGGATCGCCAGAGCCCAGCAGGTCGCGGCTGCGGTGGCTGGGAGCGGCCACTGCACTCCAGTCTGGGCAACAGAGTGAGACTCCAACTCAAAAAAAAAAAAATCGAGGGGAAAATATCAAGTGCATAATGAGAAGGGCAGTAGTAGACAATCAGGATCTCGGTTAGAGTGTGCCATGAATACTATTTTTGTGTGCCTTGTGCCATCATGTTGGTGTGCCGGGGCCTGCAGCATAGTAGGGGAACAAATATGAAGAATAATAAAAATGAAAATGATTTATTGAGCTTCTGCTGTTAGCCACTGTGAGAAATGCTTTAAATATATCTCTTCAAATTATAGTGACCACATGTCCTGGTTTGTCTGGGACAGCCCAAATTTATGCATAGAATCCTGGATAATTATTAGTAGTGTCTTGGTTTGGATGATTAATAACTTAATACTATCTACAATACTTAGAATAGTGCTGTAACATTGGTATTATTATCCCCATTCAAACTGAGGCAACTGAGATTCAAATACTTATGTAATTTGTCCAAAGTGTCACAGTTAATAAGTGAACCGTAATCCTCTTCCCTTGTAATAGAGTTGGACTCCATCCTGTAGATGAATTGTCCTCAGTCTGGCTGTGTGACAGAATCTCTTGGAGAAACTGTTAAGAATGCCTAGGTGCCACCCTACCACCTTGCCCTTATGGAATGTGAAGCTCAAGAATGTGTTTTTTTTTAAAGAACCTTTTTTGAAATTGCCTTAAGAAGTTTGTTATAGATGAGAAAAGGTGCATGGTTTTAGGTAGAGAGTACCATAGACACATTTGCATTTTAGAAAGTTAACTCTGGTGATAACAGATGCCTTGCTCTGGGGTGGTAGGAGACAAGAGTGGACGCAGCGCGTTAATCACCTTCTGCAGTATTTGCCGGAGTGTACATAAAAGACATCGAAACTTGAGCCAAGACAACATGGCACACTCTAACCGAGATCCTGATTGTCTACTACTGCCCTTCTCACAGAGAAGGACCTGCTGACTGTTACAAAATGCGTGAAGTAAGGCCATAAAGATTTACTACAGGTCCTACAGATGTGGGAATTATTCTTTCTTAACTTACTACCACTTAACAAGACAGAGCCCACTGGAGAATGTGAAACATGCCTCTGGATAATTAGGACAGAACAAAGCAGCATTTTAACACCCCTGTAAACTTTATAAGAAGGTATTTATCCTCACACATAAATAGTTTAACAACACAACATTACTGACCTCTCCGTACATCATCCAGGTGCTCTCAATATATTATGTCTCTATGCTTTTCCACAATAGTCTGGTTGAGTGTAAGTATGAAAAATATATTTTTCTTATTAAAAAAGTCAAATATATCCATTGCTGATACTTGGTAGGTGCAATGTATGCAGCATCACCAATTGTTACAGTAGTTCTAGTGTGACCAATAGGTGCCTCTAACAACTGGTTATTAAATATTTTGTACATAACCCCGTCCACAGGAAATTATGAATTATTATAGTAGGGAGTACCATAGTCATGGTGTACGTATGGTGACGTTTCACTGCTAGGCAACGTGTTCAACTTTAGTGACTGAGAGATAAAAAACAAGATTCCTGTTGTTAGAACTCACAGTCCAGAGGCTGAGATGAACAAGAGCTAACTGCATTACAGTTCAGTGAGTACATACATAATTTGTTTTTAAATTATGTGTTAGAAATCAAGAGAACATAGATGAAGGACACAGAACTCAATTGGATAAGAAATTATATGTGAAGGAAGTCATTGGGAGAGACAGTTGGAAGACACTGAAGTTAGACACAGAAGTAGAAAAGACTTTTCAAAGACAGGAAGCACCATAAGATGAGAAAACACAGGACATATGGGGACTGGCAAATAATTCATTGTTAGTGGGGCAAGGAGGCTGAAATAGGCAGGGATCAGTGCCTGTCTGCCTTGCTAAGGCATTTACATTTTATTCTGAAAGCCTTGGGGTTTAAACAGGGTTTGACATAGACATACTTGCACTTTAAAGATATTACTTTACCAGGAATGGAGAGGATGAATTCGAAAGTGGCCAGACTATAGTTC